ACGAGAGTCACCAAGCCGGTGCTCGTGGGAGATGAAGATCGCATGTGTCGACTCCCATTGGAACTGAAGACTCCGATCTTCGTATTCTTGATACAAAGTGGCAAGTTTGTCGAACCATCCTACACGACGGAAAGAGACCGGTGTGATCTGTGGAATGGCTGTCTCCCAAGGTTCCGACGCATACAGCATCTCGATCTGAGCTATCGACACCAACACAGGGGCCCAATCAGCTGGGACGGGTGGATTGTTGCTTACCATCAACGCCAGAAACGGATACCGTTTAAGTTTGCCACATTTTCAAAAGAAGAAATCAACTTTAAACTCAGCAACGCTGATCCGGCTAATCCTCCGTGCCGACCAAGGCGCGACTTAAATGAAAGATCGGGTCACGCGATCCAGGAATCTCGGGATCCACTCAGCCCGATCAATCTCGATGGGAGATAGTATTTTATCATAGTCTGACTGCGGCAGCAACATGTTGACGGGTGCACACGGGCTGTCGGTGATACTTATCGACCCCTCGGAATCGCTTGAAATATCGCCGGGGGATCTAAGGGGGATGTCGTATCCACCGCCATTCTACTAGGGAAGTCCACGACGATCGGGGAGGTGAAAAATCCGGCCGAACTTTGGGATCTGGCACCGGGCGATTTTTGACGATAAGAAGATCGCGAGCCAGACAGCGCTGCAAGGGTCGCATCTTCGATCTCGGTAGATTCTTCATCTTAAGAGTCAGTCGGGCCAGAACGGCGTAGTAGTGACTTGCCAGGTTTGCGGTCAGGACGAGCGGCCTCGAGAATGTGGCGGGTTTTGTGATCGAGCGATCTTCCCGATTCACCAAATGGTTTGGATGGGGGGTGGAAATAGATGATCGAGTGAATCTTTTGGGGACGGGCTGTGCGTGTAAAGGCAATGAATTACGCGGAAGTTTGCGGCTTGGCAACGCGGGATCGAAATAAAGCGTTGGCAGCCCCGGAGCCGGAATCGATTCCATTACGGTCGAGATCGGTACAGGAACGCCTGTAATCAGCGACGCCATGCGATCCCACAACGTGCAATGATTCTGGATAGCGCGGTACTTTCAGCGGTCAAATTAGACAAACCAAAGCGCATCTGAGTGAGCACGGAGTCGCGATCCAGTAAAACGCGTCGTAACCGTGCACGTTTCGAAGATTGATTAGCGACGTTTGCTTGCTCCCGACGCAACTCCGGTTGAAGTTCCCTGATGATCTCAACACTGCGACGAAGCTTGTCATGTGATTAAGTTTATGCGTTCTTGTACTGAGATCGATTGCTCAGCACTCGGTAGAGACTATCCAAAAGCGCATCACGCTCCACCACCGAGCGATCTCCGGTCTCATCCATTTGCGTGCGAACCTCGGCGATCTTGCGGTCATATATTTCTTACGCGATGTGGCGGGCTTGGATGGCCTTTAGAAGTTCCTTTTTTAGGCGCAAGATCTTGGAGGCCTGATCTTCGATGTTGGAGGCGTGATTTTGTATCTTGGCTTGGAAGTCGCCCAGCTCGCCGCTAAACGCCGTCGACCGTTGTAAATCATCTTTCAGTCTTGCGCGCAGGTTATCATACTTGCCTCGTACAAAATCAACTAACGGAGAGGCGGAGGTGCAGAGCTCCGGAAAGCGCTCTTCCAGAGGGCGGTTGAGGTCGATCTGCCGAGCTAACACGGCCTCCATATCCCCATAGCGGTCCATGATCTCTTGTTGCTAATCTAGTAGAAAGAAGAGGGAGTCGATCACATCTTTTACCGATTCACAGTCGATCGTAGACGATGACCCCACGCGACCGCTAAGAAGCGGAGCAGAATTTCTCTCACGAGAATGCAGGATGTCGCTTTCGGTTATAAGAGCACATCGATCAGGGAACGGAGGCGAACCCGCGCTGGACACCGAACTTAGATCCTCGTCGCGCGTGTCGTGCCAGGTGACTATGGCGGTGACTACCGAGTGATCACACGCACCCAATACCAGTTTGGGAGTGTCCGAACAGACAAGGCTGGGGTTACCCGAAGGGACAAACACCACAGCAGGTGTATCCGGTTGATACCCGGGGACGTTCGATCGAATGTTGGATCGATGGGTGGAATCTGATGTGGCACGATCTGTCATGGGGGAATACAAGTTTGACTGAAAAGGGGTCAATAGCCGTCAAGACGCAGACTATGCACAACTAGATCGACACCGTTTGCCGACTAACGGTGCAGGGGACAATTGTGATAAAGCAAGCACGATATTTGCACTGATTAGTTGGGACGAGGGAGCCCACAAATCTCAGGTATCAGTTAAGTCAGAAGAGGATTCTGATTGGAAGACTACTGACTGGAATGGGTGGCTCACGATCGTGGTCCAATCTCGCGATTTCGATCAGATCTCTCGAACCTGAAAGTCAAGTTATCCTATCCCGGATTTCTAAGTAGCTGCGAAGGAGATGAATTGTTAGCGGGTACAATCGGCGGAGAAAGTTTAATGAATGAAGAAATGCTGATGAACGTTTTTGCCAAGCTCCATACGGCTTGCAGTGTTGATGAGGATAACCCGTGCCACCCTAATGCCCAATTATTAGCCTCATTGATAGAATTAGGGTGGGCATCCTGACAAGAGCCGTTTCGTTGAAAAAGTGAAGGATATGAAGGATGTTACAGAAGTGCCAACTGCACGATACACCGACAAATTCGAGGGGACGCTTACTTTAGTTGGACATTGTACGGAGCAGCATCCGCTTATGCTGACACAGTACAAGCTGCCTACACTGACACAGTGTCGGCTGGTGCTTCGAAAATATCACGTACACTTTACGATCAGGGGAAGACTTTATATCCTAAACAAACACGTTTAAAAGTAAAAGTAAACTGTAATGAACATAATTAAAGCTTCCTACTACCAAATCATCTTTTGATTTCCTTCAACTACACCAAACGGCAAACGTCAAATGAAGCTACTCACTCAACCCCTATTGCGCGCGTCTAGCATAAGTTGAAGTTAATTGGTGGATAAAATGACCTATGTCAACCAACGAGTGGAGTGGCTCTGAATATTACCACTAAAGACAATAGTTCTTCGATATTTACTCAGTACGGTAAAGCTTGGTGAATATCATCACTTAAGATAAAATGCTATTTGTCTCAATCTGGTGTCAATTTCTTGAAACGGGCTCTCCCCGTTACAGAACTTGTATGAAGACACCACTCGAAGTTTCCACGGAGCACACTTTGAACTTGTTGCATTCCATTGCTTGTCTCGATCGTGAACTTCATAGCGCCTTTGATGGAGTTCGAATCCGTTAAGATCTTGCTTGCTGTTTTCAAGCATAGACCGTCTTTCCTCAGCAAGTGGGACCGGCTTCGTCGTTCCTTCTTGATATTATGGCTGAGAACGCTGAGGAAAAGAGACGTTCGTGAGCCTTGTTGTTGCGGTGTGAGTGTGACGCTAGTGTTTTCCGCCACACAGACACCGCAACAATACGGTTAATGGGATCCTTGGATTGGCATATGGGGGCATCGATGTTGAAGAAAGCAGCGGACGACGCGTACCGCTGCGAACGCTACAACCCAATGTTATGCAATGATATGCCTGCGCCATGCTTTGACTTTCAGAGTCATGGGAACGTGCAAAAGGGCCAATGATGCGCTGATGAAGGGGGCATAGATTGAGCATAGCTTCATCAAACTGTTCGGCGTACCTGCTGAAGACCAAGCAGCTGATCGGGGCTCGGATGAAAAGAGGCGAAGATGATATTACGACGTTACGCCGCATGGCAGCGGTACACTAAGCAAAACTAAAGAAGACGGAACGACGACGCTCGTTGGGAAAAAAGATAATGAGCTCGCAATCGAGTGTTACTTCGAAGCTCTCGAGCATGATCTAAGAAACGACTTGGTGTGTTTGCATCATGACGCATTGCTTATGCTGCTTAGAAGACTACGTCAAGGCGAACGAAGATTTAGTCGAGTGCATCCGACCCGATCACTACTGTGAGGTCGAAGATTACTATCCTCTCGCCCTGGCTTTGATCATCACAGCTCTTTATAACGGCAGAGACCTGCCAGTAGAAAACAGCACCTGACCGCAACATTATGCGGAGCTTTTACTCCACTTACCACATTACATGTTCTGAAGTATCTTCGTGTGGTTCCATCTCTCATATGAACTACGTGTAACATACCGTACTGGACACGCTGGCCATCCTCTGTAGGATCACTGCCTAATACTCGTAGACTACAGTGACAACAAGCGATGTAAAAGCTCTGATAGTTGCATGTGTTGCAGTAATGGGTGTATGTGAAGCATCAAATATCTCACAGAAAGTCACACGAGGCCGTTCGCCGTGTGATGGTCCATTATCACAGCCATCGATAGAAACGTACGTATATCGTTGACCCTATTTTGCAACTCGGCTACTTCATTGAGTATAGCTGGTCGCCAATCGTTCCTCAATATACCCCACTTTACTACTACTACTACTTCATCTACAGCAAGACCGGTAGCGCACATCGCTGTTGCAGACTCTTGTATAGCTGTTTGATCCTTTCTTTCGCTTTTTATATAAAGCCACAAAACAAAGCACTCCGCTCAACAAAGTGTCGATAAAAACCTGATCTGCATTTTATCCATTTCGACAACAGTCGACCAGAAAGAACATGGCAAATGGTGCGTTCGTCTCCTGTATCTGCCTACGACGTGACGTGTCCAGTTGCGTCCAATCCCGGCCGTGACTTTAGTCGTCATACCTAACGCTCTCTCTATTGTGTACGACTACCGTTCGCTTCCTCCGCATAGAAACGCTAGACTCTGACACGCTCTACCTCGTCCGAAGCTCCCCGAATAGTGCGTTTTTTACATGTTTGTCTCTACTTTTTTCGCTCGCTATATTTTTATGCAAAATGTATAATTTATTGATAACAACTGTTGATTGCTGTCACTATTGTCTACTTGTTTTGGCATACGCTGCAGTCGAAACGGATGGCGTCGACTATTGCAATCTGATGAGCTACTACAAACTAGAGCCGCACCTGGCCAAGATGACCGAGACAACGTTGCCGAGCTCGTATCACCATTTGCTGCGTGGCCTCGGCGAGGCACGAGACTCGTTGACGCCGACGAACGAGACCAGAGGAGATTTGATGGCGCTGCTGGAAGGCGTGCCGTTTGATCGCCCCATTGAGCCACTGCCGGAGAGTACGGTCAAGAGTGCACTGCAATTGCCGGCAGGGGGCAGCAAGAGCGGGCCCGTGCTGCATCCACTGCATGGTGGGAAGACGCCAGGATTGATCCACACGCCGCCTCCCACGGATACTGAACGAGCGGGTCATGCCGAAAAACAAAAGGGAAAGTCGAAAGACGATAAGGATCGCCGAGAGAAGAAGGAAAAGAAGAAGCGGAAGCGAGAGAGGGAAGACGCAGCCATGCTGCAGAAGCTGCTGGCGCCGCTTGTGGCAGAGCTGCGGGCACTTACGTGGACGGGCTGGGTGGTTAGTGGCAAGCCAGGGAACCCTTTTTTGCAAAAATTCACAAAGGACAATTGCAAGCGGCTCGGCGTGCCCAACTACTTTGACTATGTCAAGAGTCCCATGGACTTGACCCGAATGAAGGAGAAAGTCGAGCGTGCAGAGTACACGAAGATCGACCAGTTTACGACGGACATTAAGCTCATGGCTGCCAACGCCAAGACATTCAACCGCGTGGGCGAACCGGTGCACCAGATGGCCATCGAGATTGAGCGACTCTACGAGTCGAAGCTGTCGACGTACAAGAAAATGTTTGACGAGCTGCATCAGGAGCGCAAGAAGCGCAAGAAAGACAAGAAGAAGCGCAAGGAAAAGAAGAAGGAGAAGTAAGTTGACCCCCGTTGTTGCCAAGCAGCTCGAAGGCAGAGCCGCAGGTTGGTACTGATCCAGCAGGTAAAGCATGGCCCATTAACAAGTCTCTCTTTGGCTATTCCGTTACAACAAGCTGTGCTAGCGTCTCGCGTTCATCGGCCTCATCACGTTCTCTTCCCGCTATTGCAGCATCCAGTATCGGCGTTGTCGGTATCCACCACTCCCACATGGCACGGCCGAAGTACACTGTCACATTGTGCTTGAAGCTGCAGTCGACCAGCTCGCCGGGCTTTCCAGTGAGAAACTCCAGTGTCGTCTTGCCTTCTCGCAGCAGCCACAGATGAAAGACAAAGTACCCCGCAAGCAGCGAGCCGATGCTCAGCGTCAAGATCCAGCCACACTTGAGCAGCCACGCGGCACTTGTGGTCGTGGCCACTGCGGCTCTTATTGCGCGAGAAGCCATGAGGTTAAATGCCCAGCAGCTCAGGGACGTGTACAGGAGGAAGAGCAGGAAGACCTTTTTGTTGCGCCACGCCACACAAGTGCCCGTCCAGGGGCAGTGGTGGTCCATGCGGTAGACGCATCGATGGCACACGGAGCAGTGATGAACGTCTGCAGCTTTGTCGGCGTCACAGCGCTCGCAGTAGCGGGTGAATGGCTCGGGCAGGTCCAAGGGACGCGGCGGACGTGTGCGAGGAGGTCTCTCTTCGGCTCTTGTTGGGGGCCAATGGCGCAGCGCCTGTGCGTAGCTCCAGAACATGAATGCAGTGGCTGTACAGTAGAGACTGTTGAGCAGGAGACTGACGTGCGGGCGCAGCAGGACGGCCCACGTGCACACTTTGAGCAGCATAAGTCCAAGAGCGACAGCGACATAGGCCTTCGTCATGGTGCCCGAGGGAATCAGATGGCCCGACCAATTATTGTGCACAAGTGGACGAATGTGGTTGGAGAACACGACTGGTTTTATCGTGCGGAACTGGTTTTATCGTGCGGGAACGGACTTTATGGTGCAGAAACGGGTTTTATGGTGCGGAATACAAACCAAGCACGGCGAAAAAACGGAGCGGGTCGTCCGGTGGTACAAACCAACCACACACGTTCTATCGCAAAGTGTTTTTTTGAGCCGGACGCTGAGCTCGCTGATGGCAGTAGTCGTGTTGCAGACATGTAGTTCCACTTTTATCTGTCGCTCGGTCGCGTACGAAACTCGCAGGTTTTGTCAAGCAGACGACATCAGGACAAGCACGCGGCGACGTGCCCCTGCCACACCTGATGTCATAGCGACCATCTAGCAGGGGCAGCAGCGGTCAACCGTACGGGGACTCGCAAACACCAATGCAAAGAGACGGCGGCACCGTGTTAACTGATCTGCCGAGCAACTGACCGCCTGCCCACGAACACGCGATATCATCACTGGTCCCTCCCGACCACCAGCAGCTACGAGCGTCCTCCAGAGCACCGCTCTACCACTCGGCGCTGCCACGCACTCCACCTCACGACGCATCCACCTCGTCAAGTGTCCGTTGCAAGCTCAGGCGCTGGGGACGCGTCGCTCCGACACTGCTCGCGTTCGTGTGCACACGTCAGTCTCATGCGTGTGGGGCAAGCAAAGAGCCCGTGTGCTGCTGCTGCTGGGGCGACTGGTTCTGCTTTCGCACGCCACGGGAAACGCGGAAACGTCCGCCGTCTTCTTTCGATCCGCTGCGTCGGCCGCCCGGTGCAGCACCGGCTTCGTCGTTCGTGCGTGCTGCGCGAGTACGACGCGGCCTGTTCCCGTTCGTCGGCGATCCATTGCCCGACTTGCTGCCACCGCTATTGCTATTACTATCCTTCTCTTTCCAGCGCTCCTGGCCGCGGCGACGAGGGGTCTTGCCTGGCAAACTGCTTCCTCTCGGTCCAAGCTCCTTCTTGTCGTTGTCCGATGAGCCCAGTGAAGCTGCCGGCGACAGTCTGTGCTTATCGGGTATGCCGGCAGTAGTGACCGCTGCAAACGAGATGGGAGCTGCAGGCGCTGACTCTGACAACAACGGCGGCTGGACTGAAACGTCAGCCTGTTTCTCGGTCGGGACGCCGTTCTGCTCGTGCACTTCCATCCTGCGTTCGTCCTCAGCATCCGCAGCCACACTTTCCGTGGCGTCCACGTGCCCTTCAGCTACTGCAGTTTCGGCAACAACTTCATCCGCCAGCTCCACTTCAAGCTGCGACTCGGTAAAGAAACTGATCTGCGGCATCGTGTTGATCTCAGCAGGCACAACAGGAACGTCCGGGGTCTCGTCAACTACAGCAGCAACGTTCTCTACGTCCTCCACCGCCTCGGCCACCTCTGTCCCACTCGACGCTTTCGACGAAATGGCCGCCAACTGGTCCACAAACGCGCGCAGATCGCAGTACGTCGTATCACAGGCAAACACCTTACCGCTCGCCGTCAGATACTTCTTGGCTTCCTCCAAAGACTCGAGCAAGTTCTCCTCGTACGACAACTCTGCCGGAGGACGCGTGTTGCCCAGCACCACCTTGGAGAAAAAGTCCAGCACCATGGGCACCTCTTTGCCAAGCGCTTGGTGCAGATTCACTACGTGCAGCGTCTTCAGCAGTTCGTATACACTGGCAAAGCCATCCGAGTCCACAGTCTCCTGCTCGACCACAGCCACTGCAACTGGCTCTTTCTCCACTTGTTGCACGTCTCTCTCGTCCACGTCGGCACGTCCGTCAGTTGGCTGCACCGACTCGTTGCACTCTCGTGCTGCATCCACCTGTTCCACCGACTCAAGAGTCGTTGTCGTCGGCTGCACCGCCACTTGCTTCGGCTGCTCCACTTGCTGCAGTTCGAGTCGGTAGACGCCGACAAACTGCTCCCGCAGCATCTCGAGCTCGGCCACCAGCTTCGTCAACGCCCCTTTGGTGCTCATGAGCGCCACTTGCTGCGCGTTCAGCACTTTGCCGTCCGTCGCTTGCGCCTGCTCCAGCGCTTTGATCTTCTCGAGCTTCTTGCGGTGCGACCGCATGCGCTTGTACAGCACGCTCAAGTACGGATGGTCGCCGCTCCAGGTGCTCAGGTCGTACTCGTCCGCGGTGTGAGTTGCTGCAACAACTGCTGCGGCCACTCTAAGCTTCTTGGGCTTTGCTGGAAGTGCGGCAGACGTCGACAGGACGACCGAAGCGGCGACGTCGCGCGCTGCGGCGCTCACTGGCTCGCTGGACATAGCGACGCGCGGCTCTCGTCCGGTCGAGTGGGTCTATCCTGGGACGCGTATTGAGAAATGAGGCGGCAGGGCGACGAAATATCCTTCCGAACTTAGTGTGGTCCACCGGTTACGCAACCTGCCTAGGCCCAAACTCACGTGCACCACACGTACCACGAGCCCCTCAAACAGCTTCCGTGATCTCGTCCACAATGACGCCGCCCGTGACCTTGATCCCACACGTCTCATGGCCACTGAGCCCCACCACCGCGTCGAGTGGCGATCCTGCAGACGGTAGCTGGTTGCCCCGAGTCGATGCTCCAGCGGCGATTGGCTCTGACTTGTTTCCGTCGTTGCGATCGCGTGACTCGGAGTGGAGATGTGGCGCGTCGATCGGTGCAGCAACTTCAACATCGTGCCCTGCAGCGATCTCCTCTTTAGCCGCCGGAACGGCTTGAGCCTCATCGTGAATCGCACCGGTCCCACGTCCTCCGGTCGGAACATCCTCAGACTCGATCCCGTTGTCGTGTTCAGCAGTCGCCACCAAAGCCTCTGGATCCTCTGCGCTATCGAGCGGTTTATCGGCCACGACGTCGACAAGGGGGCGCTCACTCTCTTGCTCACTGCTGTTGGCTGATGTTGCCGTCGTGCTTGCATCGGCCGTGCTTGCACCGGGACTCAGACCCAGCTGCTCTTTCAGATGTGGACACACGGCGTCGATGACAGCGCATGTTTCGTCAAACAGCGTCTGCGTACTATCCTCGGTGCTCGCCCGCTCGAGAATATCTTCGGCCTTCAGCACAAGCAGCAGGTTGTACAACGACTGCAACGTCGTCTCGAATACAACACTCGAGTGCTGCAATCGCGTCGAAGACGAGTTTGGTGCGACCAGTTTGTTTGCAAGACGACGCAACACTTTCAGCCACAGATCTGGGAAGTCCGATAATTCCATCAGTACGTTCAAGTTGTGGAGGAACGTCTTGGACAAGAGCGTGATGCTGTACAGAGGAGCGTCACGCGCCATCTTCACAGTGCTGTCGTTGACCTGATCGTCAAACGCAAAGATGATCTCGTCAAAGCATTTGTTCCACGTGTCCTTGGCGATCGGCACACCGGGGAGAAGTAGCGAGTTGCGCAGGCACTCCCAAGCGGTCCTTCCTACTGGGAGTCGAGCATCGTCCAGATAGTCAAGCATCACTCGCATCACTTCTAGCCACGAGCTGCCAGTCATTTTATACGTGCTGTCACTGTTAGCCAGTCCTTCGAGAAGCTTCAACGCGTCAACAGCATACGACGTCCGGTGCTGAACAAACGCGCAGCAAAGAGACATCCAGAACGGAAAGTTGCCATCATGCAAGTGCTTTCCTTCGACTAGCACTACCACACTTTCCCAACAAGCTGAGCGACTGTTGATATACTCGACCACATTGTGCAAGATGCCCAAGAGCACCTCCCAGTCGTGAAAGTTGTGCATGTACACGAGGTTCGCCTTGAGCAACATTGTGATACCGGACGACAGCCGGTCGCTCAGCGCCTTGTACATTTCCCGGTTCAGTGTCAAAAGGAGCTCGAGCGTCGCCATGAGTTTGGGACGCACCTGCTCGTCGTGAAAGAGTCGGATACTGACTCGCAAAATGTGCACTACCACACGTTCAACGAGTCCCTGCATGCGCAGCTCGCTCAACGGGGTCGAAAGAATGCGCTTGGCATACAGATGGAACGAGTCCCACAAGTTGAGCTGCAAAATACGGTTCGAGTTGACCAAGATAATGTCCACGCTCAGCTCCAGTACAAGGATCGCGTTTTCCTGCATCATGGCATCCACACCGGAATCAGACGGCTGCACAATGCACTTAAATGGATCGCGACACGAGACCAGCGTCTCCAACAAGCTCGTCAATGCTTCCTCCTGCAATTTACGAGTCAAACGCAGCCAATTCTCTTTTTCGAGGATACCGCCACCGAGCTTCAACACCTCTTCACGAAGCATCTCGTTAATCAACGAGAAGCTCTTGTCAACTTTTTCCTCCTCTGCCCAGAGGTAGTACGACAACGAGCCCCAGAGGGATCCACTGTTGACGTTCTGTCCGTGACTTCCATACGAAGTGCCCTGACTAGCCTGAGTCATGCGTTTCATACGACTTCGGATAGCGGCTTGGCGCTCAGCTTGACGTCTCGATCGTTCACGGGTCTTTCCCGAAAGACCTGTTCCACCCTGTCTGCGGTTGGACGAGCTATCGGAAGGAGAGGAGGTATGCATCGGCATCCCGCCCTGCATCGGAGGCAGCGGCACGCCACGCGAATCCACGAAATCATCGATCTCTACCAATGATGTAGGAATCACATCCAGCTCGTTAAACATGAGCATGCACTCGATCACGTTCGCCCAGCCTTTGCGAAAGTATGCGCTCTTGTTTTGTACAAACTGGAATAGCATCTTCAGCGACAGTAGCGCACGACGAGTCTTTCCTCCTAGCGCCAAGTCCTCGTTTACTGAGCTTCCAGCCTGCTGTTGCGCTACCGAAACCTCGACTTCAGAAGCATCATCCTGACACGGAACGACTTGCTCTCCGCTGGCCTCTGTATGTTGGTCCTCCGATGCAGACGAAAGTGGAGAAGACGCTGAGTGCTTCAGCATAGTCGGTGGCACGTACACTTTCTCGCCACTCATAATACCATGAGCAAATGTGAGGAAGTACGATGATAGCGCTCCCATAATCTTGTTGAACTCGTCAATCATATCATAGTACAGCATAATTTTGGCACAATTGCTCAGGCCCTCCGCAGCACGCTCCATATTCGTCACGTCACAAGTCTTTTCGAACGCCAGCAATATGCTCTTGATCGTGCTTTCGGAGATCAAGTTGAACATGTCCTTTTCGTACAGACCAGCACGCACCTTCAGAATACTCGTGTTCGAAGTAAAGCTTGCGCCGACCACATTCTTCGAGCGCTTTAACACGCCGTCCCATTGCATCGAGTACCTGTCAACCGTTGACGACGGAGACTCCATAAAGTCGGACACGTCATGCTGCATCTGGATCTCCTTCTCCAGAATATTATAGTACAGATCTGTCAAGTACTCCACCGGTAAATCTTGGCCTGCGTTGATTCCGCGGTTGTTGCGAATGAACTCTTCCACTGTCATCTTCTTTGCAATATGGTCGGAGTGCAAATCCGTGTTCAGCATAATGATGCTGAACGACAGCACGTACGCCGCATCAGCGTCTGCCAGAGGACCAGAAGCACCAGCTTGCAAATACAGTTGCTTCGAAAACGCTTCCATCATGCGATCGATTTTTTGTGCTTCACCCGGTAAACGAAACTTAGCCAGGAACATTCGCAATGCCTCATCGAGCGACGAGGCCGAACGGAAATCGAACATTGCGACATAAGCGTCTCGCACTGCAGCATTGAACGGATACTTTTCCACCGGCCCGTCGCCAATGAAGTCGCCAATAAGCGTCTTGTTCAGACCTGGCGTGTGCAGCAAGAACGATGCAACCGATTCAGGTGTTAGCTCTTCTGGCAACAGTCCAATCTGCTGTGAATACGCAATCCAATTCTTCTGATCGTGGTTGAACTTTTCCGCTGCCAGCGCACAGCGCTTTTTGATACGCTTGCGTTGCTGCAAGACTTCGGCAGTGCGTTCGCGAGCCGTGTGCAGCCACGCCAGTTGATCCACCAGGTTCTCCTGTTCACTCTGCTCCGAGTCCGAGTCGCTTTCACTCCCTGACATCACGAGGTGCATGAGGTCACGCACCGAAGACATTGGCGAAATATCGTTCATCGAAAAGTCACTAAATGAGCCTTCAGTGCCAGGGGATGTTCCAGCCGTAAATCGAGCTAGATCAGACCCTTTCAGACTCAAGATACCTGTATTGCGCCCAAAAGCGCCGGATCCTGAGGTTGTTGTGGGGGCGTTCAAAGGGCACCGTTGAGCAATCGACTCGATGACTGCTAACAAGCCTTCGAGACACAGCAACGTCAGAGCATTCAGACTGCCGTCAGGGCCCGACATGGACTGACAATTCTTCGCCAGCGACTTGCACAGCACCTCGAACAAGTTCGTGCAATGCACATCGCAATCGTAATTGATATACAAATCCAGCATGAGCGCTGGTTCGCGGCAGAACTCGAGCAACGATTCCAGTGCGAGCTCTTTCTGTTCATTCGAGCACGACGGTGAGTCGATGATGCGCATATGAACACTCGTGAAAAACACTTCCAGCTGGACTTTCAGGTGGTCCTTGATCGAGTTGAATAGGTTGAACACAACACGCAGCGTGAGTGACAGAATGCCTAGCTCCTCGGTCTCTGAGTTTTGCAGCAGGAACTTTGACAAATCTCCTTGCAACACCGACACCAAGCACGGGTGATTGCCAAGTCCCGTACCAGCTGTCTCGAGTACCACGTTCATGAGCTTCAAACCCTGCACGCACGTCATCTCTTCGTTTTCCGTCGGCGATATCAGTCCTGATATAAAGTGTAGAATCCGTTCCAGCAGCGGGATCCCGTACGGTGCATCTCCTGTTTTTGCAGGAACCGACGTTGGCTCCACTGGTACAGAAGCCGGTGGCTCTACAATGTCGAGACTAGCATCGTACTCGGGAGCCTCATTTTCATCTTGTCCATCACCTGTTGCGATCTCAGCTCCTTTTGGCGGCGGCTGTGGAACCATTGGCGCAACGGCTTGACTGCTTTTTCGCTGCAAACCCAATTCGTCGATCCTGTCGAACACGGTGAGCACCAAGTGGGACAAGGTATTGTCCGCCGACCTGCACAAGTGGATCGACGATCGGGACTGACATCGGATACTGTAACACAGCTGCAGCATCTTGAACAGATTCTCGCCAGCAATCAAGTGACCAGCGTCACAGCGAACGGAGTACTCCACGAGCTCCAGTAACTTCATCAATACGGCTTCGTCGTCGTCTCGATACGTCTCTTCGAATTTGCACCGGGAGACGCACACTGCGATGCGGTTAATGGCTACATCTGCCCGCAGCGAGTCGCACGTGATGAGACCGTACAAGAGGAACTTGTTGATCGCCGAAATGGCCGCACCGGTGATGAACCCACTCGTGCGGTCCGACTCAATGACCATAACAAACGGCAACAGGTACGTGACGGTGTCCACGTCCGCCAAGTCGGCCACCGACTGGAGCTCGTAGTGCAGCTGCTTGAAGGCGCGCATCATGGGCGACTGCGTGGCGGCGGGGATCTCCTGCGTGAAGCGGTCGACGCTGGCCCAGCGGGCGTTGAAGCGCATCATCGAGAGCACGTTGTGGATCTCGCCCTTGACGCAGTTCATGACAAGAGGGAGGGAGGGGGGAGCGAGGGGCGGGGCCGCCTAATGTGACAAGGGGGCGCGGATTCACAGAGCTCGCGAGGGACGTCAGTTTTGGGTGAATGGGCGGGCTGCAACTTGCTATGTTGCGGGTTCGATCGTAAGCTGCATTCGGCGTCTATGCTGCGAAAGCGGTCGTGAGCCGGATGCTGGATCTATGCTGCGAACAGGGTCGTAAGCTGGATATTGATGGATAGTGGCGAACAGGGTCGTAAGCCGGACGTTGATGGATAGTACGAACAGGGTTGTGAGTTGTGCTATAAATTGGTGTTGCTACTTGCGGTTTTTAGGATCGCCGGGTTGCCTGTTTCGCAACATACCGGGGGGGGGGGCGAAGAGTGTCCTGATGTGCGTGTCATTTTCGCAAGGTTGTTACGCTGCTTGGTTCCCTATGAAACTGCATCGAAACAGTTTGCTGTGGAACGGCACCCACGCGCGTCTTCTACTTCTTTTGATAACGAACGGAAGATTACAGAATAAGCAAACCGGCTCTCGCAAACATAATACGCTCCTGTAAATGCCGTCACAACGCAGAACCTGCTTCGGCACTTGATGAGCGTCATCGAGTCAGAACACATGTCGTTTCTTTGCGCAGTAGCAGCTACTGCACAGGCCAGCAACATGGCTACAATAGTTGCAGTAAAAGGTGACGCTCGGTGTCTCGGAGCAACGTCTGCAAGCCACCCCACACACCATCGCTCACGTTTACGATCGATGACTGCTTCGAGTGTGAGCCGCAGAGAGTTGTATCATACTGGGCCTCTCACGTCTGTCATAAGCTCGTCAGGACCCGACATGCGACGCAAAGAGACCGCGTTATCATCACCATCGAATCGTACCTACAGTGCCGAGATCTGCGTTCAGGTGCAGTAAGTGTCAGACCAAACAACGGCATTCTTGGTGCGCTGCAGCAAAAGCGCTTTGGACGTGTGATACACATGCTCGTGTGCACGCAATCGTACTGTTCAGACTACAGACTTACATCTGACTCCCGCCAGATCAACCTAGTAGCGTCATCATGCTCGCTGTATGAGCGAGCGCAAGGCAATCCTGGTCAGTTCGCCAGCATCTTGGACGTCCGGGGCTAGCGTCGGGGGATGGATACACGCGTGTATCGTCATGCAGCTATCGTCGAAAACATGAGTGCACGGCGGCTTAGCTTCAGACGTCGAACTTGTCTAGGGCTCTCTTTGACAACGCGGGTCCATACGTTAGAATTCCGGTACCAGCCAGACAAGGAACATCCAGTCTTGTCGCGCAAGTACCTCAGCTGACTGCCTGAGTGTTTGTCCGCTTGTGCTTCACGTACTGTTTGTGCAGTTTCGAAAGGACCGTATTCGTCACTTTGAGACGCAATGCGCGCTCTATCAGTGGCGCTTCGGCAAGTATATCTTGTGCCTCGTCCGCAAACGTGTTGAAAAACTGCATGATCTCGTCAATCGGTTTTTCCATCACGTACTTGTCCGAGAGCTGTAACAACGCCAGCGCCACTCGTAACATGATCTTCCAGTTCTTCTCAAAGAGAAAGACGTCCCAGATCCGGTCCAGGGACTCTCTAGGAAGCACGTTGAAGTACAGATACAGCGTCTGGAACCAGCCCACAATGAACATCTCAATCGGCACCTTCTCTTTTGCAAAGTGCGCGGCGACGGCTGGATTGGACAGCTCGAGCAACCGCTGCGTTTGGAAACAGTGCACGTGCAACGTGTGCAGCCCCGGCGAAAACATGTCGTGCAGACCGTACTGCTCAAACAGTACCACGAGCAACCAAAACGTGCTCTCGGCTTCGCTTCTCAGATCAGAAGCACAGCCGCTTCTCTTCACCTGGTCCAAGACGTGTGCGGCAATATAGTCCATGCCTTGACAATACCCGACAACGGGAAACCGACCTGCCACCGCGTGCAGAATCTCGCTCAACTGAGTGGTCAACTTTTCTTCAAGAGCTTCGTCGTTTCGGTTTGCCACGAGTTTCTGAGGCATCACACGACCGTACGTGCGACGAACGTCCGTCATGATCGACTCTGTCGCGTCGCCCTTTGACAGGCCCATTTGCAAGTACGTATCGTAATCCAGCTCAGCACTATCTCGCGTCTTGCGGGCGTTGGACGTTTTCTCCCAGTACGCAAAGCGAAGAGTCGACGGAAGCTGTCCATACCGAACACAGAACTTCTCCAAGTGTCGTTCCGAGGCGATAAAGTCCCGGCAGCTTTTGTTCACGCAAGACACTCGCGACAATACGGGCAAGTCTCCGCAGAAAAGCAGGATAGTGCCAAGCACGTACGGCGTCGAAAAACACTGATCGCCTGAGCTGATGGTCGTGGTCTCTTGGTCGTTCTCTCCTGACTGGGCGCTAGAAGCGCTGATCGCTCGTGCTACAATCAGCAAACAAAGTTAATACAACTCGTCAAGACACTTTCCTCGCCACGAAGTGTCAACCCACTCACTCAGTTTCAACAGGCCGAGCGATCGAGATGGCGATTCCGCTGCCACGCCGCTGCTCTTCTTGTACTTCAGCAAGAAAAGACAACTTGCGCGCCTGGGGTCGTCCACGTGCGCCACCATGTCCACTGTCGTATCGCCAAGGTACATGTCCGCCATGGCATTCAGCCCCATTGTATGAATCCTCTCCGCTGCCGGTCCTGCTGCGGCCAACTTGGTCTTAAATAGACTCCAGCCTTGCGTCGACCCTTCCTTCACTTTACTTGCTGCCGTCGTCAAACCTACGCACACACACACAGTATGTATTGACTTTGACGTTAGCAACCGATCAAAGACGTATCAACGCAATGACGTGTACCTGCAGTAGCTGACGTCTTGGCCTTCACAATCGTGGGCTGGTACTTCCCAAACCTATCGCATCGAAAACAACAAAGCACAAACATCAGATGCCACTGTCCGCTCTCTCCATCTCATACACGAGACGGCCATAAACAGACTAACGACTCCTCCTCACTGTTTGCTCGTCTTGTCCTTCATGAGCAGCAACTGCGGTCCGAGCGTCTTCGAAGCAGTAGCTGCTCGGTCTTTCATCATCCCAAAAGCACCCGCGAGTCCGTTTGCGCCATTGCTCGTCGCCACTGAATCGTCGTCTGTCTCGTCGCGACACGCAGCTCCGTCGTCTACTTCACGTCCTGAGGGAACGGGCACCAGCAGTTCCGTGGCCGACGTCGTTTTTCCGCCTTCTTCGCCTCCAGAGCTCGAAGCCGATGACGACGCCGGCGATGCCGTCGACAGCGCCGTACCGGACGCATCGAACGGCGTCATGAGCTCAGGAGTACCCATGTCGGCCGTCGACGTGGCCATGACGGGACGTAAGGCGATTGGAATGTGTGCGGTGGCGTCCCGCAACGACTCGCAATGGAACGATCGACGGCTACTACGAGAGCCGCAGAGCGATCCGTTGAGCTTTTACGACGTCGGGACCGCTGGATTTGCAGGAGCGATCGATCGACTGGGCACGCGGCGGCTGGCAGTGCCGTAACGACAAAATTTGTGTGCAAAAGGCGACTTGGACGGCTTTTTTCGGTTGCGAGCAGCACCAGACGACTCTCTGGCGAAAAAAATCTTTTTTCGTGCGGAACTGCTATTCGGTCGTCTCGTTCATAGGCGACGCTGCTGCTGCTGCTGCTGCTACTTCGCTGGAGAGAGAGATACCCACGCGGTCGACAGTGCCGCTACGTTGGACCTCGTCAGGGGTCGTTTTTCAATTTGCCTCGTGGACTTTCTCTATCGGTCCGTGATTTTACAAGTAGTAAGTGACCTGTTCCTGCTATGTTCCGATCGTGCGGCATCTGTTTTCTAGCCGCACATAGACACAGAGAATCGCTCTCGTTCCACTAGAGACTTTTGATGAATCGATAATACAGACAGTGGTCTGTAGACCTGATGCGTCGTGGCCTCTATCTGCGTCGGTTGCCAGCGACAAACGTGGCAGTGTCGTGGTGCTTGGACAAGAAACGGGGAGCCCCAGCGGTTGCTTGTTTTCTTCAGGGACTTGTTACTTGTTTTCTTCAGGGACTTGTTACTGTGGGTGGCCCCACGTGAGTTGAGTCACACGACGCACTGGCTGGCGGTCAAGTCACTCGAGACTCGACGGTTGTCGTGTTTGGCCTGTTTTGCTCCACTCGCGTCACAGAGAGAGGAACTGGTGCACGTGTGACGTTGTCATTCGCTCAGCTTTAGGCAGCAGCACTCCCAATGTCGCCCTCTTGTTCGTGGCCCATATCTGTTCATACGATGCGTCTCTTTGTGCGCCATCTCTCGTGTTTTGCCTCTCTCTTCTCATACCCACAAGCACAAGCAGCAACTGTCGTAGATGCAGTGCACGTGGCACCAAATGTCCACCGACAAATCGCGTCGCCCACAGACACATACATACATACATCCAAACACTCACTCACTGCGTGTCGACGCCCAACACAATGGATCGAGCAAGCTGCCCCCGTCAAAAAGCGCGTCAGCAGTCCCCACGCTCAGCTCCACCTTTTGTCCTCTCTGTAAAGTGTACGTCCCGGTCTCGTTTAGGTACACGCTACCCTACTCCTTCACGACAGTGTCTCAGCGAGCCAGCACCCACCCCATCCCGCTCGAATATTCACAATAAGCCTGACAACGTATTTCTATTTCTATCCAAGCATCATTTTTATCATCGCCACACAAGTGCATGCCCCGCGTCTACGTCGACGAGCGACGTCCTCCTCCAGAAGTCCACAGCAACGACACGATAGCCAGTGCACACCACGTCATGTTCCGTCTCTATGCGCCATCGAGAGATCTGCCGAACGGTAGAAACGACGCTGCCGAACTGGCAGAAGAAGAGGAAGAAGAAGAGGACGAAGAAGAAGAAGAAGAGGACGAAGAGGGCGTCGACGGTGTCGCTTTGCAGAGTCCGTCTTCGGTCCGTTTGCATCGCTCGGGGACCCGCAGACGCCGCAAAATTGGCAAAGGCATCCAGCTGATCCTCCTGCGAAGTTACGTGCACTGCGCGAAGCAGCTGGGTCGATTACCGGACCGAGTGACGACAGAGCAGCTGCTGGAACAGGGCTACGACGAGTTTTACTACCAGGGAGGGAATCTGAACGAGCCCCGACTCGATTATGCGGCGTTTCTAAAGCTCGTGCGAAACCGGAGAAGTGAAGTGATGCGACAGACGCGAAGCGGTCGCTCGATGATGAGCCAAAGGTGAGTCGAGAAATGGATTGGGAAACAGTGAGGTGTTTGCATCTCGATATCGATATCTGGTTTGCAGTCATTTGCATTGGCGATGTGTTGTATAGTATGGCTGATGTAATGGAGTGGGTGGTGGTGGTAAACATGTGAGTAGGAGCTCAGCGAGACACTGTCACAAGGAGCAAATGGAAATTCGAGCGCTGATCAACGAGTTGGAGCAGGTACGACATGGACAACGACCGCGTGGAGGAGCAGTGGGGTATGACACTTTGGGCATTCGCTCGGGTAGTCAAAAGCCCCGTGCGGTGGGCACCGACACGGCCGTGCCGATTCTTTCGGACTCGTCGTCGATCATGGGAGACGCGGGGACCGACGGAGGAGTGTCGGCTGGAGATCTATCGACAGCAGAGACGTACTCGTCCGTCATGTCAGGGACGGACGGTAGCAATGACGACGTCGTCATCTCGCGTTCCAAGCTGAATGTGATGCTGCGAGCGGCACAGGAAACGCTAGTTGCTCAGAAGAGAATTCTGGATGCGGTGCGAGCAATGGAACAGCGCTGCAGGCATTCAGTAGCTTGGAAGCAATGATGTGCTGGGTATGACGAAAGTGTTTGGGTGCATTGTGGGTAACGTATCCCGTGAATTGATTGCTGCGTCCGAAGCGCGCGCTATGACGTTGAGATGGGGTACGAAAGCGTAACAAGTAACGTGGTTTGTGGTACGTACCGCCTGCTAGACTCGCTCGCTCTCATCCAAGCTGCGTCATGTATGTAGATGCTCAGGGACGAGGTCGTTCCTGTGTTTGCACAGTGCATGGCGTTTCGTCCCATGCCTCTCCAGTCGAAGGCAAAGAGATGACTACATATTGCGTCCCGAATCGCTAGCGACAAGCTCGACCTATTCTCTGACGGGACACCAGATGTCGTTACGCACATTGACGTGTGCTTCGTTGCCGCCGTTACCCATACACACGAAGCTGCAGATGTTACGGATGCGAAGCAAACAACACCGAGTGATGAGATGAAAGTGGAACGAAATCTACGAAGGGGCAGCCAGTCACGTGCATGATGATTTACATGATGCGGCAAAGGTGAGCATAGGCGCGGCAGTGCGTTGCGGCCAAGATACTGGCAATTATCGCGACTGAACGCGTCATAGTTCGCGTCTTTTACGATGGACCGAGAGGAGCCAACGCTGCTGTTTGAGCCGCTATTATTGACTTATACAGCAGCGCAGAGATCTTGCTGAGTCGCTGTTAACACTTTGAGGAGCAGGGCTGGTCACTTACCAGTCTAAGGTATCATCGAGCAGGGAGAGGAGGATGCGATGCGCAAGTGCTGTGTCATCTACTCTTCTTTCGTGTGTGACGATATCTCAGCGTCGATCACAGCAAACGACCTGACGGGTCTCACCATTCTCCGATATGCATCATCCGACCATAGAAGATTTGCGCTAGCGACTGTCGACGTCCATCATTCGGTTCTAGTGCTGCCGTCTTTGACCTTTGTGGATCGACAAGTGTTTGCATTGCTCGAGTGGTCGACGACTTGTCGAATCCGACACGGGTGCCGTCAATCATACGGACAGCAAGTAGACGTTGAGTCATCCGTTTCCCTCACTCAGTTTGGTCAAATCGGATACGCGTCAACTCGCGCACAATCAGTCGATTGTCGCGGGGTCTGTGGTCAGCTGCGAGGAGCCATTGGCTCTCATCTCTCAGTCTCGCGTGTCGAGTCTACTACACCGCTTTCGATCTCGCATTGGCGGTCACCGTTGCTCTCAATCTTGTGGATGTGGTCATCATCGCTTTCCGTCCAGCAGATACAGACATCACTGCCTCTCAGTACGTCGTCCAGTCTAGTGAAGTGATCAAGCTCGACCATACATCGACACCGTCGTTCGACACTCGATTGAGCTCGGACCGTGATGGACAGATCGTCATTCGCTGCTCATCGATGGCCGACTATTCGCGATCACGCATCTCTCGTTCACGTAGTCCGGCACCTTCATCTCGTCATTTCCAAACGTGCACCGTTCAGCTCCGAATCATGCAAGCTCTACTTGCACTGTTCCTGGCGATAGACTTGTTGGTGTCAACAGTCGTGGTCAAGGCCGAACGCTGCACAGCTTTGGAAATAAGCAGCGTGGTCAGACCTATTGTCCTGGACCCTGACTTCGCATCGTGTCAAGCCGACAGCAACTACACGCTCTCGTCGTTCGCGAGTCCGTCGGTCGCGCAGATCCGCGACTTCTGCTCCAGCTCTGCTTGTCAAGGCATGCTACGCGAGACGTTGAAGTCGAGTCAACTGCCGGACTGCGAAGTCATTGTCGACGCCCAGGCGTTCAATCTCGTGGAAGTTGCGGCCATTGTCGCCGTCGCGTGTGGACCTGCTGCTGGCCAGGAACTGAATGCCCTTGACGAACGGCTGGTGGCCGAACCCGACCGCGACAACTCAGTCCAACGCTTGTCCGACCGCGTCGCTGGTTTAGTAGGCCACTCGGCTCCGATCGAAAAGATCGGAATGGTATCGGCTTTGCTGTCGCTTCTTCGCGAGTAGACATGGAGTTCCGGCTGTCGCGCGCGTCCATTCCCTTCGTGTATGTTGTTGAAGTTGTTTGCAATAAAGTCCATGTACCCCCGTGTTTTCTCGATGATACAACGAGTGATCCGTTCGACGGCTGTGCACCAGTCAATTTGTTTTCAACACGTGACCTCAGCTGGAACGGATGAGGAGCTCCGATCACATTTCGACTCGACTCGGTCGAGCAGCAGACCCCTTTGCATCATGGCTCCTCATCAGACAGACGCTATGAACGGGGAGACGACGACAACGACGACGGCGACGACGCTCCAGAGCGTGGACCTGATCATCTTTGCCGCGTACGTTGTCCCAGTGATCCCTCGCAACGCGATCCTGTCGGACCATGCCATTGTCGTGGACAAGTCTCGCATTGTAGCGCTGCTGCCACGCGTAGAGGCCATCACTCGCTTTGTGGGCGTCGACGAGCGGCACTTGTCGGCCCACATTGTGACCCCCGGACTTGTTAATCTGCATACGCACTCTGCAATGACACTGCTGCGCGGGCTGGCCGACGACAAAGCGCTGTGTGACTGGCTGGTGCAGGACATTTGGCCCACGGAGGCGGCGTTCGTGTGTCCCGAGTTCGTCAAGGCCGGTATGACGCACGCTGTGGCCGAGATGCTGCGCTGTGGCACCACTTGCTGCAACGACATGTACTTCTTCCCGAACGAGGTGTGCCGTGTGCTCGAGGAGACGGGGTTTCGCGGGGCCGTGGGACAGATCATCATGGAGTTCCCAGGCCCGTACGGCTCGGGACCCGATGAGTACCTTCGTAAAGCAGAGCCGAACCTGGAGAAGTACGCGCCAGGCTGTCACGACCTCATCACTGTGACAATGGCGCCCCATGCACCGTATACGGTCTCGGACACGAGTCTGCAACGCGCGGACGCACTGGCGAAGAAGTACAAGGCGCGTGTGCACATGCATTTGCACGAGACCGCGAGCGAGTGCAGCGACAGTGAGAACTTGAACCGCGCGTCCATGAGCTGCCACCAGAGCGACCAGAACCTGCGTCCGCTGGCCAATCTGAAGCGCATGGACTTGTTGTCCGAGCGCCTCATTTGTACGCACATGACGCAGCTCACGGAGACGGAGATGGACGCCGTTGCAGCCGCTGGAGCGCACGTCGTGCACTGCCCGTCGTCCAACCTCAAACTGGCGTCGGGGATTGCACCCGTCACCGAGATGATCAAGCGCGGTGTGAACGTCGGGATTGGCACGGATGGCGCTGCCAGCAACAACTCGCTCGATATGCTCAGCGAGATGAAGCTGACTGCGATTTTGGCCAAGGCACAGACGCTGCAGTGCTCGAGTCTTCCTGCTGTCGAGGTGCTGCAGATGGCTACACTGAACGGAGCCCGCGCTCTTGGTCTTGACCAGGACATTGGCTCGATCGAAGTGGGCAAGCGGGCAGACGTGATTGCTATCAAGTGCGATAGCGTCGAGATGATCCCAATGTACAACGCCATCAGCCACATTGTGTACGTGGCTGGTCGGGAGCATGTCTCGGACGTCTGGATCAATGGCAAACATCTGCTCGACGACCACAAGCTCACGACGATTGATGAAGCACAGGTGAAGCAGAGCGTCCGCGAGTGGGCCGCCAAGATCTCCAAGCATCACAAACTGGCGCAGTAGATGGTCGCCTCGGCAGACTCTTGTACATACAGAGCCTTGTTCTACTACACATGTCGCCTGCGTTTTGTTGTCGTGACTGCTCCCTGTGCTGAGGCCTTCCTACACCTGTACTACTACTGCAAGTGAGCGTGCAGCTTTCTTTGGCGCAGTGATTGTCCAGTCTGGACAATCCGAGTACGAAGAAGCAGAGACAGAACCAAAACACTTGTTCATGACGTCTCGTGTTTGAATGGGCTCGTCGAAGCCCAAAATTCGGTTCATCGTCCAACAGGAACATTCGGCAACGTGTTCCAAACGGAAAGCGTTCTAACAAAACAAACAGTCCGCTCAGCAGCTCACTGCTCCTAACAACTAATCGCTACCAGACCAACGCACGTCTCGCGCATCGTCGTCTCTCGGTTTCCACCCCGTGCTACTAATTTTTCATCATGAAATTCGGATCTCGTCGGTACTTGGCCTCGAATCGCTCCATCCACTTGTCGAGTAAGTTCGTAGGGATCGTCATGTAGCTTTGATTCGTGCTCGTTGAGAACGAGCTGAGGTACATGAACAGATCCTGAGCAATCTTGAGTGCAAACGCCTTGCGCTCTTCCAAGCCACTGGCTTCGATCCCCAAATTCTTGACACTGTCCAGACTTTCAATGGACACGCCAAGTTGCAGCACGGGCTGCCCCACGACTTCCGGATGCGTCGGCCACGAAGTCCGGAAGATCGCACTCGGCTTTTCGGCAAACACTGTGCCGAGTAACTGCCAATTCTGCAGAGCGGGGATGGCAAAGTACAGCACCGCTGTGGCCATCGTCAAAAAAAAAACAGTTGCATCGACTTGCACGGTTTAGTCCATTGTGCTTTTTGGTGTCTTTTTGCAGTTTATATCGAAAGTGCTTTTTGCTGGCACACACGCACCTCCAAAGCCTGGCGGCACAGGGGAGCTGGGCAACAAGAAGAACGTGAGGTCCGTGACTTCGGTCGGTTCCAAGATGTCGACGACGTAGTGCGCGGGGCCAATTCCCCTGTCACAACGAATGCGTCAGCACGAAACATGCTGAGAACCGCTCCAGAGCCGACCAAACATCGGACGGTATCGACAGAACGAACAGCGACGAGCGCAGCAGGTAACGTACCGAAAGTCAGTGACAACGGGGCGGCCCGCTACGACGAGTCCGAACTGGGCGATGCCCGCCATAGTCACGGGGTACAGCGACGTGAATAGTTTGAACCAAAGTTCGACAACATGTGCCGCCGACAAACGAATTCAAACGAGCGATTATTCGCGTTTTCTAGAAAGTGGACGTGCGCGGTCTTCTGTTTAGCGCGGCTTTGGTTTTTTTGGGGTCGAATAACTGGTCGCTAAATCGCTGGATTCGCTGAAACATCGCATTATTTTGGTGCGGCGAGGGGACATCTAGCTATTTTCCGGAAGTCTTTTGTGCGCCTACTCTCAGAATGGCTCGAGCGATTTCCCCCTGACTTAGATGGACGGACCATTAGGTGGTGCTGTGAGAGACAGATAGGCAGCTGATGGGAACCTAACTAGACGCTGTTCCGCAAGATAGTAAGTCGGGTTGCTAGTGCGTGGAAAGTACAATGCACTTGCACAGAGGTGACACTGGCGTCTAGCGTTGATAGGTGTCAATCTTGCCGCCTCAACAATGACTGTATCGCATCTTGTCATCCGGAGCGGACACGGTGCGAGAAACGCGCTGTTGTTCCTTCCTTCCTCAGTATCTCTGACTGCAGCATCCGCATCGTGGCTCCAAGCGTGACGAAGTGCTCGTGAGCCTTCCGGACGGAGCGCCTGATAGACTGCACTTTGTCTCGGTCCTACATATGCGCTGCCTTTGTCACTTGCACACCCTAAACTGCTACAGCTGCGTGTCAATCAAGGCATATAGACGTTCGAGAGGAGAGGACAATGATGATGATGATGATGTGCTGCCTATACCCAGGATTGATGCCTGCAATAAGTTGAGGAATGCTGTTCTTCTGTTGTACTTGAGTTCCAATGTTACATTCTAAAGCTCTCGTCTGCTCAAAGACGATGATGACACGGGAAGTATCAACTCGTCAGACACATGTCGAGCTCATTTGATCCATCCAATGTATTTTCAAACTCTTCTTTGCTCATGTTGGGCTAGAGCAATGTCACGATGTCGTGGCAGCCCTGAGGACAAAGTCTACGCAGTTGCTTCAGTGCCGATGTCGATGTACTACAACAAAGCTCTTAGCGACCGCACAGCACAGCTGTCTAAGCAGGGGATGTGCATCATGTGGGGTCCTGATTTGCATTCAAACATGTTCGACTGCGTGCTTTTCTGCAACTGTCGAGACGGCAATACGATGGACTGCAGTCGATCGTTCGCGGTAGATTGCAGTGCTGTGCAATACCAGATCATGTTAGCAAGCTTTTTGTACCATAAAGCGTAGAGTATAACAACACGATTGAGACATTATCGCTCGAAAACGGCTTTGTGGTGAGCCAGATCAGAATCAATCCAAGATTTCCAGATTTAGGTCATTTGCACCACAAAAACCTCCGCAGAAGGTCTGAGCGATGTCAAGCAATGGCATTGACCAGTGCGACGGACTGCACGGGAATAAAGACCGCAGCTCCGTTCATCAATCAGCGCAGTACCATCACCAGCGATCTCTGCTCTTCATTTGACAAGCGATGAAGAGGCGGACCGATGACAAAAGGATACATTCTGACATTATCGCGAATCCCACAAAGCCAAGAGCAGCCTTTTCCTGCACATACAGTGAGAATGACGGGCAACGGATGCAGACAAACAGCAGAAGTTGCGTGTAGAGCGCCGGACTATCTGCGTTTTGCGATAGCCTTCGACAACGTCACTGACTTGGCGTACTCCACACGTAGTTGGTGGGGAATCGCGAAGACTTTGCGCCTGATCAGTGGGAATAGCGAAGACACATACTGCATCCCGGAAACAGATGTCATGAAACGAACACTGGAGCAATTGATGGGGCAATTTGTATGTCCACCCGAGATTAATGGCGTAGCAAACAGAGGCGAGCACTTTGCTGGAGGTCATGCCCACACACAAAGGGGAGCAAGATGAGAATGTGTCGATTGTTTCCTCATGGAAGAGAAGTCTTCAACAAAAGTGCCCCTACTTCTGATCTTCGATCCACGGACCGATGAAACATGAGTGAAGCTCGCATGCTCGTGCTGAGCGTATCCGATCGGCCCACTTCCTTCTTCGACGACCACAATGCAAAATTTGTGAACGTGTCATTCACGCAGACGCAGCAGGGTTGCTGAAGGCGGCCGTTGAGCCCGCAGTCACCGCAGACAGAGTAGTTTTTTCTCTGCGCAGTTGCGAGTGTGAGCAGGAAAAAAGCGGAGTTTGCTTCGCCGAGCAGACAAGTCATTGCGATCGGCGCGCGGAAGAGGACGTTGATGTGTGCCTTGAAGACGTTACACACTGAGCGCGCGACGACAACACGTCAACAAAACACCACTTTGTGTTTTGACAACAAGTAAAGCGCCTCGGTGAATACCATATAACCTCGTGAGGCGTCAACGTGCTGCTCGTCGTTCTAGCGATATCATCGAGATCGAGCGTGGTATTGGCGTCAGTGGTAACGTGGCAAATTGCCAGCGCATGGGTCCTCTTGATCACGATGGATGTTGACAAGCGAAAAGTGAATCGCAACTACATTGATTTGCGTACGCGTGGAGAACTTCAGATGGGCCAACACCTTTTACATACGCCATCTCGCTCCATTTTCTCAGTTGAAGCCGCTAGAGTCGAGGATAAGTGGATGAGCTGACGAGTAATCATCCGGCCAACTTTGTCGCTTCACTTTGCAGACAAGAAAGGGCCCCGATACACAGATCGTTGTCGGTTTTGGTACTACTTGCGTGCATTGTCTTTCATGCTTTCGCAAATGGGATCAACAACCGACTGGACACCACATCAATCATTGTGCAAGTTTCGTCGGGATCGAGCCGGTGAGTAGCTTTTGCGGTTGTGGTTTCAACGTGAAGAAGGCTGTTCCTCGCCGTCTCAAGATATGGCACGCGTTTGACTGAGCTACGGAAAGATGAGCTGAAGTGAGCGAAACGCATGTGCGATCACTTGAAGCTCATCGTGTTTGTCCGTGAGACCTGCGGACAATGAGCAAGAGCGCATGGGGCAACACGAAGTACTCTCCAGCGTTCGTGCTCCCTCGTTTATGCGCGAGCAGCCGTCCCACTTTGCTCTTCTGAGCCATGCCTCTTCCCTCCAAGGATACGGCTCCATCCGATTTGCCATTGCGGACTGCTCACGGAGAGTTGCGGACAGACGCGTAGCTGACATGGTCATAACTTGATCACAGCAGTGCAGCTGTCAACCTTCTGCGCAAGTAATCGACTGTAACATTCTTCTTCTTTACAAGTGCTGAGACGACCACTCTGCCAGCTCTTGTATCGAGTTACACCTTTGCTTTCGTGTAGTTGAATGCCGAACATCCAACTCGAAAACGTGTTGGAAATCGTTGAACTGTTTGCTTGTACTCGATTCGGGCACGAAAGTTATTCGATCTCGAGGGTAAAAACGGCAGTTGCCAAAGTATCCAGTCAAAAAACCCGACAGCCCCACACGGTATTCCTGTCACGTTAGCAGAAAAAGAAGACCAGAGATCAGCGACGCACATCGGGCAACTTCGAGCGATCCACCCCCAGTAGCCGTCGCACGACGGATTACAGTCAGTAGTGTGCATGGATTGCATCGCAAAGTACCGGTCAGTTGGCATCGTAGTGAGGAGTCACTCGATCACGTAGCACGAGTGCAAACAATCGACAGCAGCAATGTGGATCCGTATGGCCCGTCGGCTGCATATTGCCAACGAAGACAACAGTCGACACCTGATTGTAGCACACCGTCTTCGGCGGACAGACGCGTCTTTGCTCACGGTAATATTTGCCCGGGCTTTGCCGTCGAAAGCCCCCGCGGGTGCAGATCACGTAGCTACCCAGTAAAATCACTCGCAATTGATGACACCGCATCAGCGTCTGACGGAATCTGTCGATTTGCAAGAACGTGGTCCCCACCACTGCAGTCGTATTGCAACTGCAACGACGACGTTGACCGGAAAACATACTGTACGACTCGCGGCCCCACGTCTTTGCTTTTGCCAGCCGAGTACGGCGGCATTCACATGCCGTCGTCTGCTTCCTGCGTCGCTAGAGCTTACCATGTAAACTCTCTCGCATACTTCACGCTGGATACCAGTGCAGTGATCTGAATAGCTAGCTACAGAAAGCAGGTCCCTGAATCCCTACACTCACAATTGACGACCGCCTGCACGCGCAGACTTTCTCCGCTCGTGACACGTCGGCGATGTCTACGGCAGGGACGTGACTCACCGTGTTTTGTCCCTCTTCTTCGGTGTGACCGACCGACCAGTCAGTCAGTCAGTCAGTTCCTTGTCGTCATTCCCAAAAAATTGAGCACAGCGCGACAACAACAACAACGTCCATAGCCCACGTGCCGATATAACTCTTGATCACGTAACGTTGCGGATGACACCCGTCTCGTTGCCGTCATTGCGTCGAGAGCCCGTGGGAGCGCTAACTGTGCGCGTGCCTCGTCTGCATCCGTTCTCCTCTGCGGCCAAAGCGCGATCTTCCATGCCCGTCGACTCGATGCCCGTGTCAGATGTGATGCCAACAGTACTGCCCAACTCGGTATGCCCACAGCAATCTGAGCTCGCGTGGCGCTCTTCGTTGACGACCGATCAGATTGCTGCGATTGCGATTGCGCAGCAAGAGACGGCAAAGGCATTGCGGGGTCGAAGCAAGACCAAACCGTCGTGGTCGCCATCGCATTGCCTTCTGTCCGATGCAACGACTCCAGAGGACTGGAAGAAGAAGCGCAGGAAGGAGCAGTGCCGCATCAATCAGGCCAACTATAGGAAACGCAAACGGTGCTACGAACAAACAGTGGGGCACGAGATCTCGGCCCTGAAACAGGAGATCGAGCGGCTACGGACGTGCCAAGCTGCGAAGCTGGTGCAAAGGCAACCGAGCGCTGCTCAGTCCATTGGCGACTTTTACTACGCGGTGGGTGCCGAAGGCGGACAGCAGAGACTCGACTCGCGGGCTTTTCGGCTCGAAGACGGTCGCCTTCCAGCACTGCACTGTCTATTGGAACTCCAGCGAGAAGAGTTTGACTCGGTCGACTTGTTCAAGTTACACTGGCTCTACTACTGCAAGCAGTTTCGGGCGTTCCAGCTCTCCATCACGTCGTGTGAGCGCCTGGAAGCAGACCAGCACGTGATCATTCGAGTCACAGGCCAGCTCCAGATGGATATCGACGGCGGTGCGCAGCAGCAGCGGAGTGGAAAGAGTCTGTGCTACGGCTTGATCACGTACCCCATCACGCAGCAGTTTGAATTTCGAGAGGACGAGCAGGTGATCACTCGCATCACGTCGGAGGTGGATCTTGTTGGTGGCATTGCAGCCATTCAGAAACGGAATGTCCCGTACTGTACACTGAGCGTCCTGCGGTACCTCTCCGAGACCTTTATTGCGCTCGAACCGTTGCCGTAGAATTGAGTGAGTCTGGCTAAGCAGTAGTACTCCTACATGTTGTATAGCTACTGTCTGGAAGTCGATCACGTCATTTCGTGTAGTCACCATAGGTAGATAGTGTCAGCCTGATAACTAGCTGTCCAGTGCATGCCGAAGCCCCCCCCCTCAAAATTTCCACCGACGTTCAAGCTGGTAGATTTTTCGTCCCTCCGATGGTAAGCATGTTGTCGATCGTTGCTCAGCCGGGCAAATCCCGGGGATCGAAAAAAACTGGTTGCTCGTAAACGACCATTACGATCGCTGGGATCGTAATCTTACCGTGGAAAGGCACAGGTACGCACCACATGGCTCAGCGTCGGGACCGTGTCATGTGAACCACCGATCACCACGTGTTATCAAGTGGAAAGCGAGGCCCCCGAACGTTTTGCAACAAACATTACGCCGACGCACAAGAAAAAGCGATCCTGATGACGAGTTGACCTCAGTGTTGTGCCCGTGATCGACAAAGGCTTTGGGGGTATTTGTGCGAGTACCACATCGCCGTGTGCGTTCGGCCTGTTCTTACCGCAGTGTTTACAACTCTGTCTCATAGCGGTACAAGGTACTTTTCTACCCAAAAATTCACGCATACTGTGACACTAAAATTACCAGCTCTTGTAGCAAACGTATCGCAATCTTAGAAAGCCGCGCGGTACAATCAAAAGCAAGGCGGCATCTGCTTCTTGGCAAGCTCTCTCGTCTCTTTGTACTGCGATTGGTTTTTGTACTGTTCCACCTCGCATGTGCGACGAATTCGAGCATGTTGCGCAAGACAACCGGATGGCAAGTCAACTGGATAGCTACGACAGTCACGTGAGACTCGAAGAAGAAGAAGACAAAGCCGTGCTAGGGATGAAGAGTGAGTGTGCGCCTGCTTCTCTTGGCTGCCGTACAAAAGACACTGTTGTCTCCTCCCGGATGGATGTCGGCTCAATCTCCAAATTGCGTATCATCGATATCATCGAAGTTCGTGTGGAGCACTTGCTACGATTGTCTACGTCTATTTAGCCTGCTTCGCTTCGCTGCATGATGGACGCAAACTATACATGGCGCTCTCCAGACGCACGAACTATGTCCGCGTATACTGTGGCGTGTCTTTTCTGTTGCTGCACGTGTGAGTAAGCAGGTTACGTGAAAGGAAGCCGTCCGTGATCAAATGAAAGTGCGAAGAATACGTGCCGAACAAAGTGGAATTTAGAAACAGTTTATTGGTTGGTCGGAACAGTCGCCAAGAAGTACTCATTTAGGAGCGAGTCATATGTGTCTCCAAACACGTGCGCGCGTGGATGTAAAAGCCTCGATATGCACAAAACAGATGAGAAGAAGTCCCACATTGATGAAGAAACGGTATGTCAATACGTCGTTCTTTATGAATATCAAGATGACCTGTATGGGCGTAAACGATAGAAGGGGTATACGCGTGAGCAGCGAACGTGGCAAAGTCGAAATCTTTCCGGTCCCTCGTAGGACGTTAAGTGTTTCGTGCTCCGCACACGTTTGTCGCTGTATTTCGTTTCTGACTCTCCGCCTCTTTTCTATTCGAGATATCACTTGTCCAGAAGCTTCTCATGTTCCAACGATATGAAGCCTTGGTGCCAGTATAGATGTCCGACTGGCAAACAGACGTTCCTTCGGTCGATCTGTAGATGCCGACACGATGTGTGCTTCACTCGATCCGATGAACGATCGGACCCATATGATCGATAAGTATAGTTGCGAACGTGCCTTGACATCGAGGTTGTCGATACAGAAGTTGTTGGTCTAAACAGTTAGAGCGCACACACGTCGAAGGAAAAGCGAAAGTGCAGTTACTTTGTCCATCACCGAGCAAGCCGCATGTCTACCTAGTAGGATGTGTCATAACATGATCTCCCCCATGGATGTTTGAAGCAAACATGATCATTCACAACCAAGGTTCACACCACACTGCTGGTCTTCATTTACTCTAGAAAATGAAGACCTCTAAGCTTGACTATCACAAGCTTTGCTGCCTTGTAGTCTACTCGATGCGGATCATTTACTGCTCCTTCCGTCGACACGAACAGCTCATGCTTACCACTCTGAGCTGAAGGCAACGCTTGCTCAACGAAGTCTCTATGGACACGCGGAATTAGCTCGCGACCGTTCAGGAACGGTAATGACCACCCATTATGCGACAACTGTGGCAATCGTTAGCAGAATGTGTAGATACAACAGTATGGGTCTTGACAAAGTTTACGTTGACCATTGGCCTTCTTTCTTTTGGTTGCGTGGCCTCATCTTCGTTACGTGTACCTAAATGGAGAGTGTATCTCATGTCTAAGCAAGCAACTGTGTGTAGACAAAGAACGGTGTAGGAAAATCGACGACACATCGACGTTCGTCGTCCATTATTCTCGACAACGTATCGACTGCGACCATAGCGATGACCGTTGCCGATCGCGACTCTTCTGAGTGACACCCGCACATTTGACAGCCTTCAGACAGTCGCTGTTCACGCTGCTACGCTATTTCATGACAGCAGCACCGCTCTAATGTGACTGCCGATCCAAAAGTCACAGTGGCGGATGATGACATCAAGAAGAACGGGATATTCGACGAAGGAAGACATCTTGTGTCATGTGGAACTACTGTAACAACAAGTGTAACTGCAAATGAACGAGCTACAGGTGCTTGTGTCTCTTTCTGTCCCTCGCTTCCCCATCGGCTTCACACACGTTCACACGAACAACTGCAATGACGAAGTGGCGCAAGACCAAACGCACGCCGCCTAGTAGACGTTGTGCGATTACTTGGTGAGTTTCGGATCCGGATGTGTACACAGCGGACTTGATGCCACTGTACCATCGAGCGAGTTTTGATGGAATAGCTCACGACGATCGGTACGATGTGTCAGTTTTTCTTGTTTGCATATTCATACGCATAGCAAGTTGAACTCGTGAGCGCAATTACATGAAGTCATTACGATAAACTAAAGCCGCATCATGCAATGACCGGCACGTGGACCAGTGCCATTGGGTAAGAACTTGTGTTGCTGTAAGTACGTTGTGCGGGGTCGATGGCGGTAAGTTATACTCAGCTTATGCGGGCACTCGGGTTATTCTTGTCAAACCAATTGCTTTCTAGCGTGTGTTGGGTCACTACGGACCGCTGCACCTTATACTGACCATGCTGACCATACCCGACACCATTTCGCACCCGCATGCGTGCGGCCTATTTCCGTTGCGCATTTCAGTTCGTCCTGCAAAAGATTTTTGCAACAAAGTGGTCGTACAGTTTGCTTAATAGCTTCAGCTTGCACTAACCAATAAATAGCTTCCACGTCTATATCTCTTTTCGGTCAAGCGGGGTCCCTGATGCATTTTTAGCTGCTACTACTACTACTACTACTACTACTACTACTACTACTACTACTACTACTACTACTACTACTACTACTACTAGTACTACTACTACTACTACTAGTACTACTACTACTACTACTACTACTAGTACTACTACTACTACTACTACTAGTACTACTACTACTACTACTACTACTTCTACTACTACTACTACTACTACTACTACTACTACTACTACTACTACTACTACTACTACTACTACTACTACTACTACTACTACTACTACTACTACTACTACTACTACTACTACTACTACTACTACTACTACTACTACTACTACTACTACTACTACTACTACTACTACTACTACTACTACTACTACTACTACTACTACTACTACTACTACTACTACTACTACTACTACTACTACTACTACTACTACTACTACTACTACTACTACTACTACTACTACTACTACTACTACTACTACTACTACTACTACTACTAGTACTACTACTACTACTACTACTACTACTACTACTACTACTACTACTACTACTACTACTACTACTACTACTAGTACTACTACTAGTACTACTACTACTGCTACTACTACTACTACTACTACTACTACTACTACTACTTCAGCTGCAAAAAGTCATACATGCATCGAGACGCATGGTAAACTGCCTGCAAGACAATCGAAATAGAGCCAATATTTACGGACTTGTACGGCCGCTCGTCGCTCCTCTTGTCCGACGATCGACCCATGCCCACTAACCCAGCGTCGTCACACACGTTGTCCTAACGCTTTATACTCGATCCATATCGCGCTCTTTATCTCGTCGTCCATCCAGCAGCTACGAACATTTGACCCGTGGCAGACGCTGTCAAGTGCGCCGCTGCGGCACGCGCCGCTAAGTCTCGACACTATACGCGCCGATCACTACGTTGGCTTTTGCCACGAGAAATATCGTGCTCGGCGCAGGCGTCGCTTTCGTGCATGTTGCACTGACCAGATACGGACCTTTGGTCGAACACGTGTGGTCTCGCGCGGACTCTTTGACAGTCCGCAGTGTGCTGTCTGTGGGTGGGGTCGCAACAGCACAGGCCGCCGCTTGTACTGCCTCAGTGCTTTGCTTTATGGCAGCAACAAAGTGTCAGTGAGACACGCGAGTACCTGCACACATTGGCGCCACATGCTGCCGAAGCGTTGCAAGCCCACTTCGATGGAAAGCGCTTCCAGGGACAGGTGCACGACACCCACGACATTGAGGTGCCTGTCAGAGGACAGATGGCCGACTGAATGTCCGTCTGCCTGTCGGCACACACGTGGAAAGATGAATAAATAGACAACAAGCTGAATGTGCAGTGGAGACATATTCGAAGTTAGTGGGTATCGATTCGGCGCATCGAAGACCGCGAGCCAAAGACCTGCAGTCGTCGTACTCGTATGGGACACACGTGTGTGTGTGTGGTCAATGCCGTACTGAAGTCTTTGTTTCGTTCGCGTTAGTGTTGCTATGCACGGGCTTCGTTCCTACACGACCGTCGTCAGTTTGACGCATTGCCAGCATCCTTAGAACATGTACACGCGAGACTGGCTGCAAATCGTACGCTTCGTTGACAACTTGATGGCATTTGGTCACGTGCTCTACAAGTTCCACGTGGCAACGTGAGTCACCTGTTTGACGGTCGTACCCTCATCTCATCGACTGCAGTCCAACCACTTGTGCTGCCATTCGCGTAATGTGAGATATCCGAGTTCTACACTCTATTGAGCCGCGAAGCCACCAAGTCGTTGGTAAGGTGGTCGACTACGTGCTGCAAGAGCGTTCCGCTTCGTGGTACTCATCTGCATCTTCAACAGGCACATACTCCACATACTTCGTTGCTAGCTCCCCATAGACTTGCTCGAGCATTCGAAGAACGCTTGTTAAGACAACGTCTGATTGATGCGGGGGCAGGTACTGGTCGCCCGTGGACTTGGCGACGGTCACAATGGCTGGAGGGTTGCTTCCATCCAGTGCATGCGTCCGAAGGAAATGCTCGAGCTCGCTGATCAAACACTCGATCTCTTCTTGGGAGCTCTCGTGATGAGGAAGATCAAGGAAAAGTCCTGCTGTCCAAATCTCACGTCGCACGGCCTCGTTGTCTCGATATCTATCAAGTACTTGGCAAAATTCGTCAAAGAGTTCCGCAACATTGACGTCGTCTGCGTACAGCGATACAAGTTCACCTCGGATTTGTGCGCATTCCGATCGGCGAGTATCGGTGTCCACCTGCGCATCAGCTGCTTCAAGACGTCTGGCAAGCTCGGAGAACGTTGTCATCTCTGTGCTGCGCTGCTCAGCTGTCAACCCATCGAGAGGGACTTGCTTGTAGCGAACATGGCAAAAGACCTTTGTCACCGTCTCCACATCTACTTCCCCAATCAGTGCTTCCAAATCTGCTCACAGAAGATCAGTACACAGCAAGAACAACAGCAAAAATGACAAGCTGTGCGACAGTGATACCTCTGCGGAACGGGTTCCACGTCGAAAAGTAGTCAAGATCGATATCGAGAATGTAGCCTTTTGAATGCTCGCGCGCATTGTCCATTGCCTGGGCCGCTACCGCAGCCGCGTAGCCTGCAGTCGTCTCAGTCGCAAATAGATCCCAGTACCTGGTAAGAAGTCAGTCGTCGCATCAATGCTACGGATCGACATTTTTTCACTTACCGAATGGACGACGTCTCCATGTTCTTGAGAGGACAGAACAGCTCGTCGTTCACGAAATGGGGCAGTTCACTTGCTACTCCCATTGTCCCTGTGCCAAGAGCCATCCAACGGCGTCAATCGTTCGTCCGACCTCTCGTCGTCGTCACTATTGCTAGAGAGAGAGAGAGAGAGAGAGAGAGAGAGAAGCGATGTAGAGAACCCAACTGTTTGTCACGCGCTTTCCAATCGCAAGTTGCCGGAACGTTCCAGTCGGTATCTGTGCATCCATCACGTGGCAGCTAACAGACCAGCACCGATCGACGTTGTCCGCCCATGTTCATTCGTCACGACCGGTCGCACCTGCGTCGCCCACACCGATTTTAACCACGTGATCTGACTCACGTGACCTGCGAACACGAGCGGCAGTAGAAACTCGGCGATCCCAGCGACCGAATCGTCCAATGCGTCGTACAGTGTCTCTGGCTCAAAGACCACATCGGTGTTGATCGCAGTCGAAAAGGACAAGTCGGGGTGGGCGTCTACGTGCAGCACGTGGATGTGCGAGAACGGCAGACGACGTTGGCGGATGGCCTGGCAATAGCAGTTATCGAGAGGACGATAGCAATAACAAGATTAGTACTGACCAACGATAGGAATAACAATAATGATAGTAACACTAAGAATGAGGATAGCAATGACAATATTCGCAACGATGACGAGAGATTCGATAAAAATATCGCTATGAGTGTAGTAAGAAATAGAAGAGAGTATAATAGAACATATGAAGCTATAGGCCTCACTGGCCCAACGGTTGTGCAACAACAAAAACGACGGGGTTCACGTACTTGATGAATGACCGACAGGCAATGGTGGTGGTCGTCTACGACCACGACCGACACGGCCATTTCTTCCGGCTTTGATTGCGACTGGGGCTTATTTTTGTGGGCGCATATTTGTGTGTTTGTGTGTGCTTCTCGTTGGTAGCGTGCACCACACCATATTGGGAAGCAAACCGCCACGTTATGGGTTCAGGTAGCCAGGACCCCAAACGATACAAACAAACACCCACAAACGCACGCCTTCAAGCTCCTCGCGCGCGCCCTCCGCCATACAAACGCCAAGTCTCGCTCGAAAAGACCCATTTTTCGCAAAATCCCCGCCCCATCCAGTCCAGCGCCATACCGCCGCCATGATGCACGACGAGCCGCCGCAACCGCTGCACGAGCAGCCACCGCAGCCGCAGCACGAGCACAAGCTCGAGGTCACGGACGACGTGCGCCACGACGCCGAAGACGACGACGACGACGACGACGGCGCGGGTGGCAAGCGGCGCCTCTTCCGCTTCAAACCTGCGTTCGACGTCGTGCTCGCGCGCGAAGTCATCCGCTGCTTCCCGTGGGCGGCAGGCTACGGACGCACGCGATCTGCGTGGATGAACGTGGCGGCGCGCGTGCAGTCGACGCTGGAGAGCATGAAGGGCGTGGCGTTCACGCGGGGGAGCGCGCTGGACCACGCGATCGTCAAGCGACGCGTCGATATGCTGCTGGAAGCGTTTCGGAAGCACGAGATGTCGAGTTTGCGGGGCTCGGGGACACCCGAGGAGTTTGATATGCGTAACAAGCTGCTGGCGATCTTGACAAGAGTGGTAGGGTGCTGCGTGGTGTGCTTTTTGGGTGACAATGGGTGCTTTTTTGGGTGCTCTTTTGGGTGACAAAGGAGCGTATGATTGATCGCGGGTTGACGTATGGTGCGCACAGGTGGACGAGCAAACACTGAACAAGGGAGCGATGCGTGAGAAGCGCGTGCAGGCGGCACTGCAAGTAGCGCAACACAGTCTGGAAGAGCTGGAAAGTTCGGTTGCTATGCTGGTACCTTCGTCTGCAGGACTCACGTCGTCGCCTGCTGTCTCGACGCCGCCGACGATACCATTGATGCCGATCGCGCCAGCACCAGCGTCCACGTCGACTGGTGCCGTCTCTCGAGGCAGTTCCAGTTCTAGTCCCGTACAGCAGACTGCGGCGGTGTCACGCAGTGATAGCAACAAGCGCTCGTCGCGAACGACGAGTGCGTTTGCTTCTTCTTCTTCGACGCACGAAACAAAGAGGCCTCGGACGGACAAAACTGCAGTGTCAATGGACGTGGCGCTGGACCTGGAGGAACAAAAGCTGCGTCTCGAAGAGAGGCGCGTGGCCTTGGAAGAAGAACGACTAGCTTGGGAGAAGCAGAAGGCTCAACAGGACGGACAAGAGCGCCAGGCTTTGCTGGACGTGCTGCGTGCGCAGGGCTCCCTCGTGGCAGAGTTGCTCGTGCACTTGAGGACCCCGAAGGAGGCGTTGGATTCACATGATCTATGACGTTGTTGGGCCGATCCCAAGTGAATCGGCGCGACAGCAGCTATATAAGCACCGCTCCGAGTGCTCAGTGTCCGAAGCCAATGACATTTGCAAGGAAAGCGTATTCGTTAGCAATCATGGACGTTTGTTCATTCCTAGAAAGTGGATGAGTCTAAAGCAGCCAAGTACAGCATTGCAAAACGTGCTTTCGAATGGACTGGTAGATGAATTTGGGTCCGTGCATCAGGCTCGAGTTTAGTTGCGGCGAGGGCAGTACACGGAGGCTATCCCCGCTCTGTCCGTCATACAGTACAGTACATTGGTTCGGCGTACAAGTGCGGCTAGATGCTGTGCTGATTCTCCACTGCGGACAATATCGGCTGTCGAATAAAAGGCCTCTACCCTGTGATTGTTTCGCCGATATTGTCCGAAACGTAGAACGTGCCGCGGCTTTTCTCCGCGCACTGTGAGGTTTGTGGCACGGAAAGACACAAAGACCGACGATATCCGGATCTTTCTGTCTCGAAATCGACCTCTCATAAAGAATATGCACAATTTTCTCCTCGTCTTGGGACCGCATCAAAACGTTAACACGCGTTTCGCCCGCAACACAGCGACCCAGTTTCAGTTTCAACGAAAAGGTCCGCTCGCTCAGCAGCACCTCAACACTCGCGTGCCCAACCTCGACTACGAGTTGACCAAAAGTAACGTGCCGTGCCACACCACTTTCCCTGCCATGCGCGCCAGTAGTTTCCCTGACCGTCACTCTGCCATTCCGCACGCATGGCCCCCAACGCCGCGGGCGCGCCGCCGTCTGCCGCGTCCCTGAAGGAGCTGGCAAAGCCCGTGGGCAGTGTCCAGGACAAGTGGAAGCTGCTGCCGTACTTCCTGCAGCTCCGCGGCCTCGTGAAGCAGCACATTGACTCGTTCGACTACTTCACGTCGGTGGACTTGCGCAACATCGTGCGCGCGCAAGCGAACAACGTCGTGCGGAGCGACGCCGACCCCAAGTTCTTCCTCCAGTACACGGACATCCAGCTCGGCGTGCCGTCCATCGACGAAGAGGCGTTCGTGAGCACGAACGTGACGCCGCACCAGTGCCGGCTGCGCGACCGCACGTACGCCGCGCCCGTCTACGTGAGCGTGCGCTACCGCCGCGGCAACAAGATCGTGACGAACAACAAGGTGCTGATTGGCCGGATCCCCATCATGCTGCGCAGCGCGCGCTGTGTCTTGGCGGGCAAGAGCGAAGCCGCGCTGGCCAAGCTGAAGGAGTGCCCGTACGATCCCGGCGGCTACTTTATCGTGCGCGGCGTCGAGAAGGTCGTGCTGATCCACGAACAGCTGTCGAAGAACCGCGTGATCATTGAAGAAGACGGCAAGCGCAACGTGTGCGCGAGCATCACGAGCTCGACGCACGAGCGCAAGTCGCGGACCAATATCTTTCTGAACAAGAGCCGCGTCTACTTGAAGTCGAACTCGTTTGCCAGTGACATTCCCATTGTGATTGTGCTGAAAGGCATGGGCGTGGAGAGCGACCAGGAGATGGTGAGTCTCGTGGGCAGCGAGGCCGACGTTTGTGACGCCATGTCGGCCTCGTTCGAAGAAGCGTCCGACTTGAAGGTCTTTACGCAGCAACAGGCGCTCGAGTATATTGGAGCCAGGATGAACAATCAGACGAAGATTGGCGTGACGGGAGGACGCCATCGTGGCGGCTTTGGACGGCCAATGCAGGACCGCAACTCGGTCGATGCGGCGCGCTCGGCGTTGGCGAATTTGGTGCTGAACCACGTTCCGTGTGTGAACTTTAACTTTCGTCTGAAGAGCATTTACGTGGCGCACATTGTGCGTCGCATTCTGTTCACGGACAAGGACCGCACTCGGTTGGACGATAAAGACTACTATGGCAACAAACGCCTTGAGTTGGCAGGTCAGCTGCTGTCGCTGCTTTTCGAAGACCTGTTCAAGAGGTTTAACAGTGACCTGAAACGTCAGGCTGATATGGTGTTGAGCAAACCGAATCGCGCGTCAGTGTTTGACATTATCAAGTGTGTTCGCACGGACACAATCACACAGGGTTTCTACTATGCACTGTCGACAGGGAATTGGACGCTGAAGCGGTTCCGCATGGACCGTGCAGGCGTCACACACGTACTTTCGCGGCTTTCGTATATGTCGGCGCTAGGTATGATGACACGCATTTCGTCTCAATTTGAGAAGACGCGGAAGGTCTCGGGACCCCGCTCTCTGCAACCATCGCAGTGGGGGATGCTGTGTCCGGCTGACACTCCCGAAGGCGAAGCTTGTGGTCTTGTAAAGAACTTGGCGTTGCTGTGTCATGTGACTTCGGACGAGGAACCCGCTCCGATCAAGCGGCTTTGTTTCGACTTGGGTGTGACGGATGTGTCGCTAAGTTCCGGTGAAGAGATCAACCACGCATCCAACTACCTCGTGATGCTGAATGGTGTTATCATTGGTACACACGTGAACCCGCGCGCGTTCGTAACTCGTTTGCGTCGTATTCGACGTGCTGGCTTGATCGGCGAGTTCGTGTCTGTTATGATTCATGACGTACAACGCGTTGTGTACATCGCTTCCGACGGTGGACGCGTGTGCCGCCCGCTGCTGCTAATCGATCCAGTGACGCACTGTACTCGGCTGACTCAGCGCCACCTCGATGAGCTACGTGCTGGAGTGCGCAACCTCAGCAGTCTAATTGTAGAGGGTTGTGTCGAGTATGTGGATGTGAACGAGGAAAACAATTGTCTTGTAGCGTTACACGAAAGTGAAATCGGTGACCGGACGACGCATTTGGAAATCGACCCGGTAACGATTCTAGGTGTTGTGTCGGGTCTGATTCCGTACCCGCATCACAACCAGTCCCCGCGAAACACGTACCAGTGTGCTATGGGAAAACAGGCTATCGGCACCATTGCCATGAATCAGTTTGAACGAATCGACACGCTGCTATACACGATGGTGTACCCGCAAATGCCCATGGTGAAGACCCGCGTGTTAGATCTCGTGAACTTTGATCACGTGCCGGCAGGACAGAATGCCATTGTGGCTGTGATGAGTTACTCTGGCTATGATATTGAAGATGCGATCGTGCTGAACAAAGCATCATTGGATCGTGGATTTGGTCGCTGCATGGTGTTCAAGAAGTACCAGACGATGATCAAGAAGTACGCGAATGGCTCGTACGATCGCATCGTGGGTCCGCCGGATTTCGACAGCTTGGCTGCTTCTGGTGCAGCTGGAATGGGCTTCCGCAACGCCAAGTTCTCGTCGCTGGATGCGGATGGTATTAGCCGTGTTGGTGGTATCGTTCACAATGGCGCGATCATGATCAACAAGGAGCAGCCAACCCAGTTCAACGACTCGGTCGACGGACGCGATCCGCTGGACGTTACGTACTCGCCTTCGCCAACGACATACAAGGGACCTATTCCAGCTTACGTTGACAAGGTCTTGCTGACTTCATCCGAAGCCAATCACTTTCTGGTGAAGGTGTTGATCCGCCAGACGCGCAGACCTGAAATAGGCGACAAGTTCAGTAGTCGTCACGGACAGAAAGGTGTGTGTGGTACGATCCGCAACCAAGAAGACATGCCGTTCAACGACCAGGGTATCTGCCCTGATCTGATCATGAATCCTCACGGTTTTCCAAGCCGAATGACCGTGGGCAAGATGATTGAGTTGATTGCAGGGAAGGCTGGTGTGCTCACGGGTCGTCGTGCGTATGGTACGGCTTTTGGCGAGAAGTACGGTTCTGCTGATCATGTGTTGGACTGCTCGCGTGAACTAGTGAAGAACGGCTTCAATTATGCTGGCAAGGATTACCTGACATCCGGTATTACAGGCGAGCCGATCGAGTGCTACATCTTTATGGGGCCGATCTATTACCAGAAGCTTAAGCATATGGTTATGGACAAGATGCATGCTCGAGCACGTGGCCCACGCGCTGTTCTTACTCGTCAGCCGACCGAAGGTCGTTCGCGCGACGGTGGTTTACGTCTTGGCGAAATGGAGCGCGATTGTCTGATCGGGTATGGCGCCAGTATGTTGCTCATGGAGCGCCTCATGTTGTCCAGTGACGCTTTCAGCGCCGACGTTTGCCAGGGCTGCCGCATGTTGGGCTACGAAGGCTGGTGCCAGCACTGCAAGTCCGAAGAAAAGGTGGTAAGCATCCGCATTCCGTATGCTTGCAAGTTGCTGTTTCAGGAGCTGCAGGCCATGAACATTGTGCCGAGACTGACGTTGAAGGAGTACTAGACTTTTACGTAAGCGGTGTGGTGCTTCATTGTACTACTACAATTATGCTGTGTTGGCCTAATGTTAGACGGCAGGGTTACGATGAACAAACAGATCGATCGCACACAGACCCTGCAGCCTATCGATGACTTTTTCGCCTGCCAAACTTGCTTTAAACTAAACGAACTCGCGAGTAGTGGTCACTCCTGCACCTGTACAAACATGTGCATCTTTGTCACGGCGTGCAAGAGATGATGAGGTGGTGGTATATCAACGAACTGAACCACACGCTCACAGAGTGACCGCAACGGCGGAATCAGCACGTACGACCGTCATTGTTGCCGATCGGAAATCATGCTGCCTGCCACACATCACCCACTGCTTGCGACGCCAGAAACCCTGAGCAGTGCCCATTGCTTAGGGGCAAAACCTACAGAGCCGACAAAGTTACCATTGATTGGCGTGGTCATGAGAATAGATACGCATCAAAAGTGTATTTAGGCTTCGTTGCATGCGGTAGACGTTCAGCTTGACGCTAGCAAGCTGATGACTGAGCTACGCTTAAGTAGAACGGTATGGACGGCGGATCAACGACACGTTTACACACGTTTCGTGCAAAGTGGGCGTGGCATGGCATGGTGTAAACACCATCTGGATCTGCGTGACGGTGGAGTACTGTGGACGAAGGGTAGTGTGGCAATCGCAGTGTGGTTTTTATGTTCGACGGCCCGAGCAGCTTCGTCAAGTTGGTCGCATCTGATATCACTCATCCTGCCACTTCCACCTAATCAGGGCTTGTGCAAGGTCTTTGTTTCCCTCAACAGAGGCGTTTGTCGTCGAAAAGGCACTCATGCAATCCATTAACTCCAGCGAACAGAGAGGTAGCGATGACCAAATCCTGCGAAGTACTCGGCGTTCTCGAAGATCGACAAAAGTCGTGATTCTGCCGTAACTATCTTGGCTCCGCGTCGCGGGCCATACCTAGCTGGAGTTGCATGAATGATGCGGTGCCTTGTCCTTGACTGCTGCTGAGTCTGTACACCTCTGACATTGGCAGCTACAACTTGCGACGTTTGCTCTCGCAAAGTCTCCCTTGTAGAATTCGCGAGCTTTCCTTGTCTGAGTGTGTCAAAATCTTGGCAGCTCAGGTTTAAGGAACGAGCTTTCACGAACAGCAGCATCTTCCAGATGAACAATTCTCGCAACGCAACGAGTAGATAGTTATAAGGACGATGCGGCCAACGCCTGGTGAACCCTGTCGTGTTTTTACGATCGACCGTCGCATGTTACCATACCTACCATGCTTTCACGATCGATCGTCGTGTTTAGTGCAATGTTTGACAACGAGCTGCTTCGTGGATGTGGCGCTGCAATGTAGATTTGACTAGACTGGGGAAGCTTTCCCGACTCCTCCTGTTCCCAAACAGTACCAACAATTTTAGATGAAAATAAACTGGAAGCTCAATTATCTCCGCTAACGACTTACACACACATACATACATACATACGTACCCACATCAGCCACATCCGTATGGAATCGATCTACACTGACTGCACTACGCTCGAGAGCTTGTCAGGTACAGACTGGTCAGCGCTACTGAAGACATCCGTCGGATCGATAGACTGCGTTGCGTTCGCAGGCTTAGGACAGCCGAAATGGGACTCCATATCCTCACGCCACTTTCCGTATGCGATCGGTTGCTGTCCGCTCTCAATCTCCTTCACAATCGTCAAACAGCGCGGTTCCTTCACTCCCCATGTAGCTTTGAACTCCTCAGAGTATTCGGGCGTGCCACCGAGACACTGTTTCTCATACATGCAAGCCTGGCGCTCGAGGTCGGCGGTGACCTCAGGGCAGTGGCCACCCATAGCAGCCGTCGTTTTCTCGTACCACGTGGACACATGCTGATCTTCGGCACAAGTCTTGTCCACCAAGACCACGTCCACAATGTCCTTCGTAACGGTATCGTCGACTGGAGGTGCCATGGTCGCGACCGCTTTCGGTGCATCGGTGCTTGGCATGCTTCGTTCCTCGTTGGCTCCCCTGTGATCATAGCAACCTTCATGGACGTTGCTGTTGCCGCTGACCTGGTTCGACGGAGCATCCTCCACTTCGTGCTCTGCCTCGAGTCTGCGATCATCTCGACGTCTGCTGTTATCTCGACGCCTGCGGTCGAAAAGCTGTTCGAGCCAACTCCGTTGACGGGGTCGCTGGGGTGCGGCCGGAGGTGCGGAAGGTGGAGCTGGAGCAGGGGGACGAGGAGCGGTAGCGGGCACTGGAACTGGTGCAGGAGCAGGGGCTGGTGCAGGAGCAGGGGCTGGTGCAGAAGCAGGAGCAGGAGGAGCTGCTGCTGGTGGGGTGGCCGGAGCTGACGTGCCGTCGCAGTTGACAAACATGTCAGCGAGCTGACCACTGAGCTCGTACGAGTAGCTACTTTCTCCCAGGTCACGTCCATCCATGAGTCCGGCATACTGGTTGGGAACGCCGGCAAAGTATCGACCGATGACCGGGTCTTCGCTTCCTTGGATCGGGTTGACACCATTGACACCCGTGCGCATGACAATTACTTCGGCCGGATCGAAGTTGCCTCCGCCCCGCTTCGCGCACGACGTCCAGGCAACGGGGTGCGTGGACTTCTCAGCAAATGTCATGCGCTGGTTTCCGACACGACACTTGTGGAAGATGGTGTGAAGGGCATCGATCATCGAGTGATGCGACCAGAAGATCGGGTCCGACGGAGACGCAAGCGTTTGGACGGAGCCGGCCAAGCTCGAGTGCATGTTGTTGTGACAGCCTTGCTCGATCAAGGGCGACATCTGCCCGATGTTCCGGCCATTGAACAGTTGCTGGCGAACTGAGGCAAAGCTCGTGCTGGCTGGAACCGACGCCGAAGCCCAGTCGCCTCGAGGAACACATCCAGCGCAGTCCGAGCCAGAAACAGTGCCGGACTCACAGAAGTGATCCAGGGGGGCCTCACTGACACAGCGGCCGGAGGTAGCGACCCCGTTGATGCTGACTCGTTGCCGGGATCCGGCGGAGCCTCCGAACTCGCGAGTGATAGTCGAGCAGTCTTCGATGGTGGAGCACGATCCAGCGAGCACGCGGTTGTTGGCCCCCATCCAGTTGTAGTACGGCACCGTGACACAGGCAAACTCCGGACCTTGTCCACGAAGCATGTTCTCAAAGACGACGAGCAACAAGCGGTGCCAGTAGATGAACATGCACTGACGGTGTGCATGCATGTCCGACTGCATTTCCGTGTGAATCTCAATAAACTTGATGTACGCCCCCGAATCCATAGCCGCAGCCAGTGCGCCCTTGTACGTGTCTTTCTCAGCCGTTGTCAAGGCGTCCCAGTCCTTCCGGATACGCGGTCCGCAGTTCTGCGCTTCAACCTGTGCGAGTGTCGACACAAGTACGCACAGTGCGGCACTTACTACCCACAAGAGCTTCATGACGGACTCAATGGGCTTCGGTCACCAAGTGGTGATGAGAGGTGGAGCCGACGAAGAGTAAATCGGAAAGTGAGTCTGGTCGAGTCGGCCATGACCGGTCTGCCTTCTTGCTACGGCGACAAGACGCCACAAGAAGCAGGAGACGGTAAAAATAGGTGGACCGAAGTAACAGCGGTCATCATCAACGTAAGGTTATGCTACGGAGAGTATCGTGTCGCCATACGGTGTCGTCTGGCGGACAATGTCGGGTGGTGGGTCCGATAAGAACTGATGTTGCGTCACCTCCTTCTGTTGCGGTTATTCTACACGTACTGCATGTTGTGCAGCGTCAAGCTAGGATGTGTCTTGTTAAGTGGGCTGCACAAGTGCCACAATAGCCAGGTCGATCGATGCGCAGGATGAGATCCGTGCTCTTCTCCGTGAATGTGCTTGATGCGTCGGAGACAAACGTCTTCATGAACCTGCGGTGCAGTCGCAAAGAGCTTTTGCCTACCTACCTGTTCACTACGCGATTTCGAGACCGATCAGCGCACACATGCTTCAGTTTATACCACAGCTCGTGCCTAGACGGCGACCGTGTGCTTTGCGGGCATAGTGTGTGTCGACATACGATCCGTGTTGTGGAAAATGCACGACGATCGCAAGGGAGGATGTCCAGACAATAGTGTAATATGTGTCAAACCCACCAGGCCAACAGCTCTTGTAACGCACTTGCTGTGTACGCTGCACGAAGTCACAGCGACCCTTAAACCAAACGTGCACGTGTTGACTAGTGACGCAAATCATATTGAAGGCACATAGGCAGGCTTGGGGCCCGCATTGCTTCCTGACTTACTCTCGTTGCAAAGGAGAAGCTCTTTGCATCGCAACGTCTTGCTACTTACCTGTCCTTTCTGCAAAGTGTTTCCCAGAGTTGTTATTGTTATTGTTGTTGGAGAGAATGGCGCAGATGTGGACCATTGGACCGACTACTCCTCGTGCACTTGTTGCGGCGTCCGAGGCGAAAACGACGACAGCTTTAGTTTTCTGTCGACACGTAGGGTACCAACGTGTTTAACCGGATGGGGCGATTTGTTTGCGTAAAGTTTCGCCTTTACCGTGCGAGCATGCCGCAACATGTCATTGTCTTGGGTTATAGCACCAAGTGTTGAGGCATGATGGTCCTTTACGCGTTCGCTGTGACTGGAGGGGCTCTACGCACTTACTAGCATCACTTTTTGACGGCTGGGTTGTTACTGCTTCTTAGCGTTCGCTATCGCGACGTAGAGGACAGTCGAGGGATTGCGTCGCAATGCCCATAGCTCTAATTGCGTCATGAAAGTATGTGAAAGGTGACCTTGCCTATACCATGGTACAGATGCTTGCATTGCAATCCGTAGTGCAACAAAGTGCATAGAAGGGGTTGCTCGAATGCCAGTCTCGCGAGCAAGTTAAGATCTGTATAGACATGCGATGGACTAGAATCAAGCGACTGGCACAAACTCCTGACAGAACAGACGATCTCGAGAACCGTCATTAACAAATAACGTGCACTCGATTCTGCTGCCTGGATGTAACGGGGTGAGCCCGTTACATAAAAATTGGCACGAAAGTACCAATTTTTCTGAATATTATCTGTTTTGATAATATTCAATCAACATCACTCGAAATGAGTGATGTTGTCGGATATTACCGCTAAGGATAATATCCGTGGAGGAGTCCACTTCTCGGTTGATGTACAGTGTACATCAACCAACTCAACCACCAATCGCTGCTGGACGCGCGCAATGGGTGGTGAGCAAGAGACCCACATAGGAGAAGGAAGTTTAATATCGTTAAAGTAAGTCATAGGATGATTTATTAACGTCCTAACTATATTATACAAACAGTCCTACTTTCCCCTCAAGACAGAGCTTTCGGGTTCTGTTTTGCCTACCGCTTCCTCGGCTGCCCTGTGTACGCCTGTCGGGCACACGTCACCCTTGCGCTAAGTTCACGCAAGGGGTGTGCCCCGTTACACCTGGTAGCACTTTGTAGTCTTTCCAGCGACCAAGAATCTCATCCATCATGAACATGATGGATGAGGGAGAAAGATTTCACGTGACACGTGAAGGCTTTGCCCATTTGAGTGATCTCGAATGGGCCGCGGTAGGGCGAATGAGCTCTAACGTGGGTAACACTGGCGTTACCGCCATGTTGGAAATTCTTGACAGAGACCAACAGCATGCCTCCATCACCAGGGACATTAAACATGAACTTGCTACCGAACGGGAGAAAGTAGCCTTGCTTCACCAACAAGGCTCTTAACATACCAAGCAGTTAATAGAACTCGGTGCTCAACAGACAGAGCTGTTGAGACAGCAGCAATTCAATGCTGCTGTGGGCGGGACGACACATGCACGTCGTCCCGAAATCTTGAAGGTTGATATCTCCAAGTACAGAGGAGTCGAAGAAGATTCCCTGTTATTATGGTTCGTCGAACTCGACTAACCCATAAATGCACGTCGTATCGACGATGAGCAAATGAAACTCACATTTTCTCAAACCCACTTGGCAGGGCGTGCCAAAACTTGGTCCCTGGGGCTGGAGATGAGCGACCCATATGCTTTTGAATAGCTCGAATCCTTCAAGACCCGGCTCAAACGTACGTTTGAGCCGCCAAGAGCAGAGTTCAGAGCTCGATCGGAGCTTCTGTAGCTCAAACAGGGTAAGCGTGACGTGCACGCTTACGCCCAACATATACGACTCCTTGCGAGTAGTATAACTACCAATCCGGTAAGTGAACACACGTTGATTACTGTGTTCATGCAAGGGCTCGCTGAGAGGCCCGTTCGAAATCATCTGTTCCATCTAGAGTTGAATACTCTAGTAGACGCTATCTCAGCATCGGAAAAGGAGGACTTTAGCATGAGACAGGCTCATGCTAGATCAAGATCTTATCGTCCACCAAGTCGACAAGAGACCGGAGGTCCAGAACCAATGGACCTCTTTTACGTTGAGAGCGAGAGACCTCGCTCCTCAAACAACAAGCGATTGCAGAAGTGCAATCGCTTCCAGAAGTTAGGACACTACGCTTACGAGTGTAGTGCCACTCGCCGAGTACCTAGCAGTACTAAGCGAAATGGTCGACCATTCGCCAAAAAGGGCAATGGGCGCGGGTCCAGTGCTGTTACGAAACCGCAACAGCGAGGCTGACTATCAAAAAATGGACGGGGTCAGTAGGGGCGGAGCTCCCTACTGATCAAGAAACCTCAATAGAATTCTCAAATCTCTTTACGAAAGTTGGTCCAGACACACAATCATTGTGTGTCTCTGCACCTGGTGATGAGATATCACTCATCTCCTTGAAGTTAGAAGTGACAAAAGATATGCCACTTCATGCACTAGTTGACTGTGAAGCGTCGAACAACTTTGTTCGTCTCCAGTCACTGGAGCAGCGTGGGCTCAAGTTCGTTGAGAGCGATGTCACTCTCACGAGAATGACGTTGCTCCTTGCTACAGGCGCATCGATTACCGTTAAGAAACGTGTAGTGGGGATCCAGTACACGTTTAAGGGCGAACAGTACGATGATGATTTCATCGTACTAGATTTAAATGACAAATTTGATGTCATCTTGGGATTACTTTGGCTCAGAAGATACGAGACAAGAGTGAGCTGGCAGCATTGATCCGTGAAGATGCATGCCGCTTGTTCATCAGATGGCCATCTGATGAACGTCGTGGAGCATCCACAAGCGTGTGGATGTTCTGCGAGTGAGTTCGATGGCCTCACTTGCGGTACGGTCGTTAGCACGACTGCACAAGGCATCTGTGTAGTTGATCACTATACTGTGGAGCAAGCTCCCGGCGGCTGTACAGAGGTACAGGCAGCGCCGAAGGTCCACCACTCGAATAAGTCGAATGGACCGGGACATGGATGCATGACTAGTGGAAAACGTCTTAGAATTAAGAAACCTGTTCCCACAAAGGGTCAACACGGTCATCCTAGGTCGACTGCAGAGTCGACCGTAGAAGATCAGTCCCTGACAGTGGTTGCACAGCCACAGTCAGAAGACGTCGAGAAAATAAGTCTCCACGTACTTGAGGAAGGTATTCCTCAAGAGCCACTTGCTGAAGGATCAGGCCCTCAGCAACCTGTGGATGCAAGTTCCCAGGAAGAAAACGAGATGTTGAACGTCTTGGTCAATGACGGATCAAGCGTAGGCGCTTATACGCTTGATCTGATTGTGCCTCCGAAGTTAACTTCGGAGATAACCCAGTTGCCTACGCTAGAACCTAAATTTTTCTTGCGCGATCTGCGTAGTGACAAGATCAAGCAGATCTGCATACTCGTCACAGCGGATGAGTATGTGGTTGATATTCGGTCGGCAAAAGTATTTGCGGAGAGCGAACGGGTTCTCAGCAGCTCATCGATGGACGAAAGTGTCCTCGATGAGAAGACTCGGATTGAGCGTTACACGTCTCAATCCTGGGAGTCACTTCTGGCAAATCCTTTGTATAAGGATTTGATCAAATTCAAGGATGTGTTCCCTGAATCCGTACCTTGCGAGTTGCCTAAGGATGAAGGCACTTGACACGAGATCGAGTCTCAAACCGGGGTGGAAGTACTACGTCATGCAGCAGTGGCCACTACCTCGTGAACAAGTACTAGCAATCGACAAGTTCTTTGCCGATCGCTTTGCAGCGGGCCATGTGAGGGAATCAACTTCCCCTCATAGTTCTTCGACCTTCTGTGTGCTAAAGGCCACAGGAGGATGGCGGATAGTGCACGCATTCAACAAATTGAATGCTGCAACGGTACCGGCTCAGACGCCGATACCGAGGAAGGACGTAATCATAGTTGGTATGTCCAAGAGTACCATCTTTTCGTCCATGAATCTGATGGACGGGTTCAATCAGATCCTTATGCGTAAAAGGGACATCCCGTACACAGTAGTGAGCACCACCGGCGGTATGCTATGGGAGTGGCTAGTGATGCCACAGGGGCTGCGTAACGCCCCCGCAACATTCAACAGATGTGT